AAGTGAGCAGAAGATGTAAATTAGAAGTAAATGGGAAAGAACTTCAAGATCGAATGGTCATTGACGTACATATCATTTCCTGGTGCCTTCTATTTTAGTTGGTACTAGAACAACTTGTTTTTAACTCTGGTGCGTCATTTTTGAACCTCGAGACCGAGGACAGCGGACTGATTCCATCGGCCAGTCCCAGTTGCATACGTTCCTGCACTCTCTCTCCCGTCCTTTCATCGTTGACTACCTTCAACCTACCGGACAGTGGTACGACAAGCCTTTTCCAAGACGCCTCGTAAGAGCATAGGGTCCAGGCCTAAAGTGGAGAAAAATTCTTCATGTGGAACGATATTTCTCCGTTTTAGGTCTGGTACACATATAGGGCCCTAGAACAGTAAGCTACGAAGATTTAGCTCTTTCGTGGCTTCTACCGATGCTGACTTTACTGTTTTCTTACGCACGCTAGGACAGAGAATGCAAATGATGTGGTAGAACTTTCTGTCATGCATTCTTTGCTCATTGACGCGGTCTAGGGAGTAAGTTGATCACCGATTCTCGGTCGGCACAAACCTTCATGAATATGTCAGCAAAAGCTAAATCGGTACTTCAAATTGAATGCATCGGAAGTGCATCAACGCAGATGGACCTCGGACTACATCCTTTCGAACAAATGGGTGGAACGCGGTCTATCAGCACCTTCGTGACCGACATGCAAACATGAAAGAAAGGTCTTTCATGTTTTCGTTTGAGTTGTGCTCTTCACTGACGTCTTTCCATTTATCTTTCATATGTTCTTTGCTGTCGGTCCTTACAGTCCTTATGTGGCGTCTTAGCCCTCGGTCTGCATCGCTTTATGACGCACACACGCACTCTCTCACTCACTCACTCTCTTTCTTCTTACCTTTTTCCCTTCTCGCTCCTTGCGTTCAACCCTAATGAAGTTGATGGATGCAAACCATTACAGTATATCAGTCACTACCTCTTTCACCTACCGACGGTCCGGTTTCATTGTCCCGCACATGAGTTGCAACTTTAACTCTTGTTACCCCGATTCAATGTGGACGGCTTGACTAGGTCTTTTTTTCTTGTTTTTTTATTTCTATTTGACGCCCATGACGATGACCTTAACTTGCATTCCTTACGTCCGAGATTGTAGACGTTGATACTGGAGTATGCTACGACAAGAATTTCATGAACAGTCTCTTCTATGATTCTCTTTAGGACGTTTGTGACCTAAGCTCTCGCTGTTCAAGTGCACTGCTTTGAGGATATGTATATAAAAAAGTGTCTGTTTTTTTATTAGCGAAAAGAGTTGTAGCTACCAAAAAAAATCACACTATTCGTTTTATTTTAATGGTCGAACTCATGCAACGGCTTCCAGGATATATTGACTTTCAAGCCTTTAACGTTTTGCTCAGTCTTCGCATTAGTCACGATGCAAATTATATGCCGTGCACTAAGTTCGTTCTGAGGTCCACAAGTAAGTTTTATCTTTAAAATTGAGCATTTTGAGGATACATGGATAGAAATTCCAGGGCTATATGCTGTAGGTTATTTAGCACTTTACTATCGAAGCCCTTATGTATTCTCGCATGTATTTCGCTTCAAACATATATGAGGTTTCTGTTGAGGTTGATTCTGTAGGAGTATGACAGTCTGCCCAAATTCTTTACAGCAGCATTGACACGGTGTAGCTATTGTAGGAATCGAGCAATCGTTGAAACACTAAACTTGAGGAGAAGGATGTGAAGACTTATTTATTGTTGGAATCAATACAAGAACTACAGTATTGTCAAGTTAGTTGATAGATACTTCACATTTGATACTCGTCTCTTTTTAAAGGACATGCTTCTGATCTCATCAGCGCTGCAGTGACCTGTACTTGGTCAGTGGTCTATCATTTTCGATTGCATACTACGTCTTTGTTATGTAGCTTAATCGTTGATGAGTCTACGTACATATGACATACCTCTACCACTGTCACGTCTCTTGTTCTCTTATCCAGATGAGTGTCACGGACGCTCATCTGGTCTAGAAGCCAAAAAGTCAAGGGGCAGAATTAGGGTTCCATGGCAGACAACAAATATTCCTTATTTCTCCTTTGCCCAGTACTCAGCCAGCTTAGCTCTGGGAGAATCTACATTCGTCCTCCAGGGTGACAGTAACAACAACACGGTTTGGAAGCTAAACACGTACCTTTATTTCCAGGTCGAAACTCAGCACAGGACAGTACCATTTAATCCGGTGTGTGTGCTTTGGCTGATAGTGAGTGTCTTTGACGATTCTCTCCCAATGCTGAAGGACCAATATGTATTCTACGGTTTGAAAGGCAGATGTTTTCAACTGTGTTTGTGATTGAATGCAACATTTCAAGCTTCAAGTGTGGATCCCAGCAGATTTCCACTATTTATATGATGAACAAATATGATTCTTTTCACATGGACATCTGAACCCGGAGAAGAAGGGTGTTTTCTGCCAAAGGATGACCAACTACGTGTGAGATTCACTTCTACAAGGAACAAGGTACATTGTCGAAGAAGTAGGCAGTTCCAGATATAATTGTAAGATAGCAAAAGGGATTGGTTACTCTATCAAGTTGAAATGAATGAAATGAATGAAATCAAGGATTTAGGAGGAGCTAGGCTTCACTGGTAACATAGGGTGAAATGTTAAATAAGATGTTAGGTCATATACACGAGCAATTATACATTCACTCTGACGAAGAAATACATGGTTCACCAATACGGGCTACATACACAAGAATATCCCATGCTTTATAAAAAAGCCCTTAACAAATATCACTTATAGCTTTGGTGAGCTATCTCATACACTGAAAAGAAGAACTAGTTTAACTAACTCAGGTTAAAATCATCAAAGTTAAATTAAGAACTGAATTAATTCAAAGAAAGAAATCGATATATCATGCCGTTTAGTATGTAGTATGTAGAATCTTGCACACTCTGTTACATACATGTCATGTGACATCTTTAATTACATGAAATTGCAAAAATACATAAAAAATTGATTTGATTTGTGAAAATATTCATGAAACTTTAAGACATTGACGATAGCCTTTCCATTAATGTTTCATTCAAAGGATGAACGATCGAGCACTCCATGACATGTTACATTCAGTACTTCTAATCTTCAAGGGCTAAAGAATGGACAACAACTGATATGGATCTTGTTACATGTAAGGTACAGTACTACACACTAGGAGCTAACTAATGCAAATTTGTGCATCAAATCAAGGTAAAATGTAATTGGTGTAAAATAGAAGATAGATGGTGGTACTCGAAATGACTTGATGCATAATTTAGTAGAGTAGACCTTGTGGGATAAAGAATTGCAGGATTCCAGGTACTGTAGGGGCTGATAATGTGTAGCGGGTAGTGTAGAGCTCTAGACTTATGGGAGAGCAAAGAGTAAAAGTAAAAGATCTCTCGTCTTGACTCTGATGACAAAACATCTCTTGTCCATGGTAATAATACAAATAGGAGAAATGAGTGCATCTCCAAATCACACTTATACATTCGGAGATTGTAACTATTTGCAATCACAAACTAGGGGAAAAAAAGTCATTAAATACAAGAAAGAGGTCGCATGAAATCACTCAATTACCAATAAATGCTTCAGATGATATCTCGTCCACAGATTATAATTATTTTCATCTTACAAATATGAAAGTGATGCATGTATGTGACCCAGTATACCATCTATGAAGCTGATATAGCCATTAGAATTAAATGCACGTTTAAGATTTTGTATCTCATCCATATCAGCTAAGATATATATACATTCATTTGTTTACTTTAACTGGGAGATGTGGTACAAAGTGGGCAACAATCACGTGGTTCTGAGTTTTTGTGCATCAAGGAACTTTGGAACATAGTTTTGTGCACCAGCAAGACTTCGATGGAGTTCATACCAACTTTAGGATATGCAAATTTGACTCGTTTGTCTACGATGGTCGCAGCTTTTATCGATCGAGATACAAACCGTTGGATATAACCGGAGGTCCACTTCAGAGCTTCACCGGGTAAAATTGCTGGGCTGAGATGTCACGATGAATGACTACGATTAAAACAATGGTTACCTCGGTGAACACAAGTCGTTGTCGGGAAGCGAGTCAAGTCAACACGAACGCTTTATGATGTGAGGCTTGAGCTCGAAGCACGAAAGGTCTGTTAGTGGGTGGATGGACCGTTGACTGGAGAGGCCGAATAACGTGGACAAAGGAAAGATTGGCCCCAGAGCTCAGAACCCTCGAGAGGCTCATTTCCAGGGGGGACGGAAAGACGCTCCAGTTAATGCTCGAAAGCTGCCCAGATCGCCGAGTTGTTGCGGGCAGACGATCGTCGTAATGGCGAGCCTGATCCGATGTCGCCTCCACCTCCAGCTCCGTCCCCATCCCCATCCCCATCCGCCCACAACCCAAAAGCCTGTGCGCGCATTGAGCTCGCCAGCTCGCCAATTCTCGTCGAAAGATCTCGCCGACTCTCTTCCAAGTTACAGTACTCAGGATTTGATGACTCTCGATCGACCGGAGCTCGGGTGGGGCCCACAGCCGGAGCTGGTGGGTCCCGCCCGGGCAAGCCTTGCGATTGATTATTCTCGGAGACAGTGGTTCTTGCACGATCGTTTGAGTCACGGGCCAGTCGACGATTTGTGCAATCTGGTCGGAAGCTTCTGCTTTGTAGGGGACTGTAGGGGGCCGGAAATCGGAGGCCCTTCCCTTCTTACAGCAGATGACCCAGTTGACCGCGATGTCCATGCGCGGGAAGTCTGTGTGTGTCTTGACGGTCTTCTTCTGAATTGCGATGAGCTGAACTGGATTTGATCTTCCGATTCTTATCATAATTCGCGGGGGGCCCTTGACCAACTGTCTCTAAACTTTGTCCGCTGCGCTCCATCTTTTCCAGGCAGCCGTCTCTTGTCGTGTCATGCCTTTGAAGCTCGTCTTACAGATCTTCGTCCTCTTCTTCGTCTTCGTCTTCTCCTTCTCCTCGTTGCCACCGTTCACGGAGTCGCCTACTGCTGCACGGCGCTGCCTTCTTCTTCTGGTCCTGACTTCTTCAAGCATGGCTGCGTTTCTCTGAGAGGGCCAATAGTTCAGTGTAGCACCGGAGAAAGGGGTCGTGCAGATTTATCACCTCGTCTTTCTTTCTTCTTCTGCAGCTGAGGAGGACGAGGAAGAGGACCAGGGGTTGGAGATATAGAACAGGGCCAGAGCTAGACACAAAGGCTGCTCGAGAAGTGCCCAGAAGATTGAGTAGAGGACGGTGTTTTCAAAGCGGGAGACCACCTCTCGGTTCATGGTTCGGTCGAGAAAGGGGAAGGTTTTCTGAGAGTGGAAGAAATTTGCGAAAGTCACGTCGCTGTGACGAAGGAGGGAGAACCCAGGTGGAGATAGTTATTGCTGTCGTGGAGCGGAGGACGAGCTCTTGATTCGGAGATATGGACTTCTGAACAGGTTAGATAAATCTCGCCGGTGATTCTGGGCCTGAGGGTTCAAGCAGAGCAGCATGAATCGGGCAGTGCAAATTTGGCTCGTGCTCGTGCTGGGATTGTGGGCTGGCCAGCAAACTCGTGCCCAACAGGTTTACGGAGAAACTGTCACATCTTACGCGTGCACGGACACTGTCAACAAATCGTGCAGCTCGTTCGTGATTTACAGAACCAGGGATGTGTACAAAGACATACCCTCTGTGGCCAACCTATTCCAAGCTAACGAGAGTGAAATCGCCCGGCTCAATGGTAAGGCTATCACCGATACTCTGTACACGACTGAACCTCTCATCGTTCCTGTCAGCTGCAGTTGTGTCAATGCGTCGTCCATGGCCCTGATAAATTACGTGATCCGAAAAGGAGACACATTCTACTTGCTCAGCAACAACACTCTCGAGAGTTTGGCCTCCACGCAGGCCATCATCGATGCCAATGCGGAACAGGATCCCACCACGCTGCAAATCGGGCAGGTCATCAACATCCCCATCCGCTGTGCTTGTCCCACCAGTGCTCAAATCGCCAATGGAACTCAAACGCTCATGACCTACACTGTGCTGGGAGGTGAAACCGTGGGCTGGCTCGCAGCCTTCTTCGATGTGCCTGGGAGCGAAATTCGAGCTGCCAATAGTTTGCAGACGGACGAGTTGTTGTACGCTCAGCGCACTCTCGTTATTCCTTACAAAGTCAGTCAGCCGATCATTCGGGCCCAGCCTCCCCCTCCCCCTCCTCCCGCCGCCGTGCCAGAACCGCAGGGGGCAATCACTCCGACTCCTCCATCCTCCAGCAGCAGCTCGTCCACCAATGCTGGGGTTTACGTGGGCATCGGTGTGGGTGTGTGTGCGGCAATTGTGATCGCTGCAGCAATTTGTGCATATTTGGTTATTGCGCGCAAGAGGAGAAGAACTCGAACCTCCCACGGCAAAAATTCCACGCCCTTGGCCGCGATCTCGGCCCGCACCGATACCACCAGTCCTCCCTACTCGAGCGATCTGACCCCGAGGCAGCAGCAGCGGCTGGCCACGCAAGGAGATCCTCTGGAGGGCATGTTCGATGTCATGGATAAAGACAGACCGACCCTCTTCTCGTTCGATGAGATCAAGGAGGCGACGAACAATTTCGCGTTTGGCAACAGGATTCAGGGGTCGGTGTACAGGGGGATCTTGCGGAACGAGGTGGTGGCGATCAAGCAGATGAGAGGTGACATGTCGCAGGAGCTGAAGATTCTGTGCAAGGTTCACCATACCAACCTGGTGAAGCTGGTGGGGCTTTGTGTGACCGACGCTGAGCATATGTATCTGGTGTACGAGTATGCAGAGAATGGATCTCTCAGTGACTGCCTGCACACGGATTTCCTGTCCAAAAACAAAATGGCCACCAAGAGCTCGTCCTTCCTCGGCTGGACGGTCCGACTACAGATCGCTCTTGATGTTGCCACTGGGTTGGAGTACATCCATGACTACATCAAGCCCAACTACGTCCACAAGGACGTGAAAAGCAGCAACATTCTGCTGGATGGAGCGTTCCGGGCCAAGATTGCGAACTTCGCCATGGCAAAATCTGGCGGAACGAACCCGTCCATGATGACCAGGCACATCGCAGGAACTTATGGGTACATGGCGCCTGAGTACCTCGCTCATGGTCAGGTGACCCTGAAGGCTGACGTTTTCGCTTTCGGGGTGACTTTGCTGGAGCTGCTGTCAGGCAAGGAAGCTCTTCTCGAGGAGGAATCAGGGCAGGAGAAGTGTCTGTATTCCAGCATTGGGCCTCTGCTTGAAGGAGACGACATGGCCGTGAAGACCAAGTTGAAAGACTGGATCGATCCTGCTCTGCAGAGTCATTACCCTCTCGATACTGCTCAACAGCTCGCCTACTTGGCGAGATCGTGTGTGGAGAATGATCCGGCTCAACGACCAGGAATGAAGGACATCACATATGCTCTGTCGAACCTTCTTGCCGTATCTCTGGAGTGGGAGAGCTCGGCAGTTTTTGCCCATACTCTCTTGGATACACCGATCGAAGCTCGGTGATCTCACGACTTGAAGCTTCAGTTGACAGCACATTTACGACTCCAAAGGTAGAAAGAAACTTTATTGTTTGGTAGGTTACAACTTTTCATTGCGCTGAGTGAACATAGCATGTTTCGTGTACATTATGTAGAAGGGAAGACTCTCGAGGGAAGATTGAAGTGATGCCCAGAAACTGGCACCATTCATGCTTCCCTCCAAACAGGCGGCACAATGTCACTACTGAGTCTTCACGTAGATAGACTTGCATCAAAACTAACTATAAGATAGATGTTATCTAACCTCTCCACCATATCCCGACACTGGACCTTTTGGCTTAGTTCTATTCCTCTACTCGTGTACCTCTTGAACGGGAACGCTAGCTTGACACTCCTCTGAGATAGAATGTCACTTCCTCTATTTTGGCGTACACAGAACTAGGTTTCTAGGTCACAGGTGCACTTAGTCTCCTTCTTGTATGAGGCATGGCCTCTTACTCACTTATGACGAGCTCGGACTCAAAAGTAAATGAAACCCAATCTCCGTTCAAGCTATCAACACTGGTACTCCTTGTGTTCACTTCCTTTGGTCCGCGATCAACTTGCCACGTGTCCTTCGCAAGAAGTGCATGATTGCCTTCTGCACGAGGAGTTTACCTGATCTGTCTTGGGTGTTGAGGAAATTGTTATTGAGAATGCATCATTGATGCCTCATACTTGATCACTCTTATACCAGATCACCCGAGAAAAATCTCTGCGTCTGGTCTGCCATTGCTGTCTATTCAGGCACCCATGTTTGTTACTCTTCGTTTATTTTTTGCTCAGAAATCCCTGGAGTTTCATGTTGCAAGCACCCGGGCTCACGCTGGCAGAAGACATGGTTTCCTCTCGTGCTTATTGTATTACAGATAATGATTACAGAGGCTTTTGCCATTGTGGACGACGTCGGTTTGCTCGCGTTTGGGCTTCTGCAAGCACAGCAATGTCTCCTGGTTTCCACGTATATTATGAGCAAAAGAGTTGTTATTGATCCTGTATATGTGTGCAAGGCACTGGATCCCGCCATTTTGAGTTTACTTCTTCATCTCCTCCTCTGGAAGAGATTGACAGTCCAACTCAGCCGATAGAGCCAACAGGCAAGGGAAACCAGGCTGTACATTCTTACTATGGGATTGCATCTTGGGTTTAGGGCCTTACAGTGTGGACAGTTTTTGACAAATAATGGGTCTTGTTCACACCCTGCTCTTCTTTCGAGGGAAAGGATTACAACTGCTGCATTTTGAGGTTTATGGATAATATTGTGCATCAAGAGAAAAAAATCTCTAGTTTACAAATACCACATTTTGTAAGTATATGGACACAGATTTTGAAAAGGGTTGGAGTTCTGAGGTGATGTCACACACTTTTCAGTGCTAAGGATTTTACAATATCAAAGCGAGTTTCCTTGAACTCCCTACGGTATCTGTTGAGATTCGTTCATACAATGAGTACGGATCTACTCCGATATATTTACGGAAATACGAACACGTATAAATTCCGTGTAATTTTCGGGAGAATACGTACATAAACGGATGATCCTCTCGGGATGGAGCATATAGAATATTGCCAACATCAAGTCAGTACTTTTGGCGGAGGTCGAGTTCCCTCAACCGCAATATACTGTTTTGGAAACAAGTCAGTTTAGGGTAAGCCTTAGTACTGAAATACTCCCGAAAACAGTACGTTGGTGTGTATAAATATATGGATTTCACTTGTGATGGACCCATGATTCCGATAGTGTATCTGGATACTGGTAACACTTAAGGATTCAACGGAGTTGAAAAATTATACTCGATTGTGTCTTCCCATTCTTTTGCTATCTCGCGCCTCACTCGATCTTATTTGTGACGGACTCATCCGACTAAAGCATGTAATAGTCAGTCGGCCGAGAAGAGCGGAGAATCTTTTTTTCTAACAATCCTCAAGAATATCTCGATAACGGCAATATTGAAGGTTTCAGCGGAGTTGTTAGATTTTGTCCGTCCGTCAAAAACCATGAAAGTCGAGAAGATGAATCTGGAATGCGGTTAGAACAATATTAAGCTAGTATTTTTTTGCGCAATTTTCAACTCAACTCAACTCAATCTTGTCTCACCGTGGTCAAATTTTACGGCCAGTCAACAATTACCGGAGTGCTTGCAGTGAAGAATATTCCTACGACGACACTCTGCGCTTTGCTTGGATTGCTTCACCCGTTTACGACACTCGATCCGAATCCTCCGTTTTCGGATAGTAAGCCATCAGAGTGAGCCATATGAACTCCAGCCGCATGTTTGCTACAAGGAGTTTAGGGCAACGAGTTTACCCTCTAAAAATTTTTGTTACATCTATATCAATATTCCAATTATCGAAATAAACTTCGAACAATTTACTAGTCATGTATTGTAACAATCCGCAAGTTCGTTAAAAACACAGGTATTTATTAACAGAGTTAAAGCCCAGAATCAATAAATAGTCAAACACAGAAATGAATGACAATAAATGAATCCGCTCGAAGATACAGCGTGGTTCATTATAGAGTGCAACGTCCACGGTTTAAAAAGCTCACACCCGCGTGAAATCTTAAAAAGTTCTTCTGTAATCCAAGGGTTACATATCCCAACACCAGCTACTTTCCTATCTATAAATAGTTATGCTTCAATTGGACTTAATCTCAACAATCTCCCCATTAATTAGTGTTAAAAAAATAACCTTTGTAATTTATATCATTATTTTGCGAGTAGAAATAGTATAAAGATAGAGTGTAATACAAAGAGAAAACTAAACATCTGTTAGTATAGAGTGAACAGAAACCTCGTGACCCATATAATTACTCCACGATAAATTCATACTTATATAATTATTAAGCAGAAAATTTTAGAAATAAACCGAATAGAATAGTTCACAGCCTTCATAATGAAATCAATCTAGCTCTCATTGTCTTGAGCTAAAAGAGTAGGCTGAGCTGCCCGAATATGATTACTAACCATATTGAGTCAGCTCAACCTACTCAGCGTTAATGTTACAATCAGCGATAATGTTTTGAAACTGATGAATGATAAGCATTAGTAACCTTTCATCAATTGTAGAACATTATCACTGAGGGATGAATCAAGATATATGAGCATCCAGCGCTAATATTTTGCTTCTCCGACACGTTGGTCGCAAGCCCGCCAGGTCATCACAATTTCCATTCTTGTTGTTCTTAATTAAGCAGTTGTATAGCTGCAACATGACCAATTTCATTATCGTTACCGATTTGAAATCATTCTCATCTCGCAGTATGCAAGAAAAATCTATCACTGTTTCTAGCCAAACTGCAACAATGTCTAGCGGGCAAAAGCGGAAGGCAAAATACTCTGCAAGTTGGGTTTAGAATCATTTCAAATTGGTGAAAGATTCCAATCAATCCAATATTATTTGCCTGATCCACGGTTTCTCAAAACATTAGACGTAATGCATCATTCTCGGCCAAGAGCAAGCACATTGTCTCGTCATCAACTAGTAAAACACAATATATCAAGAGATAAAAAATTGGATGATACTCTACATACACTTTTTGGAGCAAATGATGAACTTCAGGATCCGTATAAGTTGGATAACGAGTCCAAAAAAGCCATTTTGAAAGCCTGGTTGCATTTGTGATGAATTACCAGCAGGCATTCAACATGATCAATAACGATGCCGTTCCGATCATTGTGCCGACATCTCAATCTCCACTACCTAAAGCCATCGCGGCAGACTCTGACACGTTGATTATGTGATCATTTTGAATGTTCAATGCCGACATTTTGTTCAAATAAAGATTCAATCGAATGAGTGATTTCTCTCTCTTGAGTGTTGGTACTCTCGCATGATGCGTGGCTACATGGTGGTTACCATTCATTGGATTGATCAAGAGTGGAACTTCAATCTGCTGTGTTGGAATTTTGCTAATTTCCATCTTCACACAATCCGCACATTACGTCGGACTTGATTCTTTCATGGTGAAGTATTTTAATATGTCTACCAAGATCAAGACCATTACATCTAACAGCGGCGGAGAGATGACACTCGCCATGATCATTATGTGATGTAATCTGAATGACCAATCGTTTGAAGAACGGTTTTCATATTCAATGAGTTTGTCACGTCATCAATCGTGATGTATGTGATGCTACACAATTCATCAAAAAGCAAGTGCTAATGCTCCGTCAAATACTAAAGATTGTTTGTGGATGCGTTGCTATCCGCGTTAAGTTTTTAAAATCATAAGACAAAAACACCAAAATGATGATTAAATTGAAAAGTTAGAACTGCTTATTTCAAAAGCAAACTTCTAAAAATGACAAAATTTGGCATGTCTCACTACTTTTCCAAAAGTTTTGATGGATAAGTTAACCTATCGATTAACTAATAAATTGATTAATTGGTTGAACTTTTTTTTCTTAACCAAAAAATTTTTAACCGGATCATGATCAAGCCTAGCACAACCTGCATACCAACACATTGTCACTGAAATTCTACAAACAAATAATTTTGATCAACACATCAATTTGTAAATACTTATCAAGTACATTGTCGATGAAATCATGTGGATTCAGCTTTACAAGTTCACACAACATCACTAGAGGGGGAGAGTTTGTCAATAGCTAGGTTGTTTCGGTTGCGTTTGATCTTGACGCACATCATCATGTTCGTTAATTTCAATCCGAACAAAGCTATCTCTTTTAAAATGGATATTCGGTAAGTCACGTCTAAGGTTTGAAGTAGAGCACAAGCTCATGAATCTTGACTACAGATGTGACGCTCCACATTATCGATGATGGCTCCAAAGCGCTCCACACTAACATATTGTTCAGGCGGTAGATTTTCAAATTCTAGATTGGAGTTCAGTAGTTCAATGTCCTTTGATGACATCAAGCGTACAAAAAAAATTTTGATCTCAATTTTTTGCTATGACAAAATAAGATTCAGAGATTGTAGAATCATCAAGGTGACGTTGACAAAATAAGTGATGATCGGAACGTAGCTTCCATCAACCATCATCTGTTGTTTGGAGCACAAGTAGAATTCCTTCTCATCAAGCTAGATCAGAAGACGAAGGTGTTGTTGGAGCATCCAAGATACAATATGCTCAAGGTAAGCTCATCAATTTGTATATTTCTAACACGTGCTTCTCATTTCTAGCTGCAAATGTTGTTGGCAATGTAGATGAACGATGAAATCATGAACAATCTTGTAAAATAACTCATCATGCATCAAATGACAATAGTCCTTGACGACATGTTGATTTAATGATGCACGCGCCAAATCTGCATCAAATTGAGGTTGTACTCCTTGTTAATTTGAATCACAACATCAAAATGCAGCCCAATCATCGTGTGCTCGCCGTTTGTGATAAAAGCAATGATTTTGCATCGTTAGTTTAAAAGTAATGCATCAAGAATGCGTTGGATGATTGCAGCAATGTTTAATGTGTTATGTCGATCATAGAATGCTACCGCCATCAAATGCAGGTTGTGCAATTGGCCATGTGCATAGAGACGAATTTGAATATCAAAATATAAATTTGATCAATGAATAAAGTTGTCACCGGCGAGAAAGAACGCTCAAATTTGATAAAAAAAATGCAGAGTGATACTTGAATTGGCAAGAATGCGTGTTTTTAGTCGATGTGGTTACTTTTTTATTTTAGGCGTTGCTCAAACTTAAGAATGTGTAAATATGACGTCTAAAAATAAAATGCCACATCTTAGTAGGCTTGTTCTAGATCCATTCTGACCGTAGATAGTAGACAAGACTGTAGCGTAGACTCTAGGATGCAATCTTGTTACAGCGTTTAACCTCCCAATAGTGACACATATTGATGTTAGGTTTTTGCGTAAATATTGGAAGGTGTCACTCATACTAAGTTGGGTAGCATATAGCGAATCAAATAGAAGCAATCTTATTGCACATTTAGCGGATCCGCTAAAGTATTTAGCAAATCATTTGGCGGATAGTATCATTCTTGAACACTTGTCTTCGAATTCAAACATCGAATTGTCTTCAGTAAGCGTAACATGAGCTCGTCGAGGTAAAACAAAGTAACCAAGGTCTCCAAGGTAAATCAGAATTATAAATGGTGAAAAGTGAGCAACCATAGCTAAGAAAAATTGTAGTGTGATTTGTGTACTATAATGTGGTTGAAACAACAGAATGAAAGTAAAATAACACGAATAAAAATGTACGGTGTTGTATGGTGGAATTATGTGGAATAATAAATTTTGATAAATCGAGTTTATAGAACCACCATTTTGTTTTTTCTTGCGTTTCTCCTAGAGCAAGGTGTGGGGTAGCAGAGACATAATGGGCGAACGAGTGCAAGGAAGGCCTGGTGCAACGAGGGGGAGTCAAGGCAGTTACGTGGTGTGGTTTCATGCAATGTTAACAGCGAGCAGTAGGCGAAGTCAAAGGTTGGGAACTCGGCTGGAGTAAGAGCAATAAATAATTATATTCAACTATTATTATTTAAATTACAATTGGAACCTTCATTATTAGATAGTATCACGGCACTGTTGCCAACCGTGACAGTAACATTCTTATCGGATAGATTTACAATTTAAAAACTGATGGTTATTGAGTTCTATGTCACTATTGCCAACCGTGACAGTAACATTCTTATTGGATAGATTTACAATTTAAAAACTGATGGTTATTGAGTTCTATGTCACTGCTGGGAGGATGTCATTAATAAGAGTTGACACTATTCGGAGGTTTAACTTTGTAGTGCATTATGCAAGGTGGTCGGCATTTTATCCAAGGAATTTTGACGTAAAGTATCAGTGCAGGAGAGGATGGGAAGAATAGGTTGTTCTTCAATTTCTAGATCGGATCATGACTCGATGTTAGAACCTTGACTACGAATGTACAGCACGCAGATGCTTTCATTTTGTCTATGGCACCAAACCTTGTTAACTGATTCTCTTTCTTCCGCGAGATCGAGTACCGCGCACACTTCGGGTCAAACCTCTGATCGATCAGATTTACTTCGTACTTCGTTTATCTTATTTGAAGTTTGTACATTGTGATAGTAAAAGATTTGAACTTCGAAGGGGTCAATGGTCCAGCAATCTTCAGTTCTTATAAGACTGATCTTTTTATGACCAAGCATCGAGCTGACAAGCGCGAATGAACATTTCCATGTCATTTACTCCTGTTTGTATGCCAACAAGAGTTTCTACTCTTGATATTATATTGCCTGCAAGTTGCTCAACGACAGTCGGCCACTTGATGGTCCTTATATGTCTACATCAGGCGATTCAGTGTGAAACTGTGAAATGTCAGGAGTCTCAGTAATTTTCCACTATCCATTCTCCACATTGCGTGGCTAAGGCACAACAAATCCACAAACAGAAGATTTTCGACTGAGAATGTCATGCCCAAGTATCTCTCCGTCTGAGAAACAGTTGACGAGAGCTGGATACTATTAAGATGTGCATTCCACTAATCACATTCTTGTCCACAATGAAAAAAACCTGCGATGATTACAATTGTATAAACTATGACATTGTACAGGTAAATGTAATATCATTTCCCGTGGATGCTTCTAATATTATATAATCTTGCCGAGTACTCATGTGGCTTCTAATGGATTTAAATCTACAATACTGGTCCAAGATGGCTCGAAGTAAGAATACGTTTGGAAGTATTATAAGTACAAATAAAATCTCAAATTAACTACAGAAGAATCTATGATGTCAGACTACAGAAACCATCTCTATGTGATTCAGCTATCTCTGAAGCTAAGGTATATCCATTGTCATTCGATGTTGGTGTTGGTGTTTGACTAGCATTACAACCACACAAGAAGTTGACAGTTCGTCCAAAAGAGTCACCGTCCCCTCCATACGTGGAATTGGTGTCAATTTCGCCTGTACAGTTGTCTCAATTCATACCGCTGCATCTCAGCATGCTGAGACTTAGAGAGAGTCGTTGACCTTAGAAATAGAGATACCTCAAATCGTTAGACCGTTACGAGCTGACATTTAACCCTTGCGTTAAAGCTTTTGAAAACAATTGCGATACTCATCTTAGCTAAAAGTTTATCTTGTATGTAGGTTCTGGGGAGAGTTTAGTTTACCTTGTAACTGGTAGACCAACGTCGCGCAAAAAAGTCTGATATGAGACTTAAATTGTAAAGAATCCTCTTCTCGAAACATAATATCTACAATTCACAAGACAATCAAAAGTTAAGACACGTGCATTGGTAGGAAAACACCGCCACACATCTCAAGTATGTTTTGCGATACAAAACTGTCAGGGAATCGGAAGAGCGATGAAGCAGATGCTGTCAAACGACACTAGAATATATATAGTTTTGGTAGAAATCAATGTACTTGAACTCCGACTTATATTGGCGTGTCTGGTATTTCCGTTATAAGCAGACTCAAAGCCGCCGCAGATTTTGTTCGAACTATAGCGCTGGGCGCATTTGCGGTCATCTTCATTAACGAAGCAGTGATCTGATTGTAATGACAACGGCAAATTTTAGTCGAAGATTTGCACAACCATACCGATGACCAAACAGATCATCGAGATCCATTCTTCCACATAGCCAATAAAGCAGGATAAAACCTGCTATGCGCTTTGAGGAAATCAAATTTGGATCCTATGATAGAATTTAAATCAAAGGATCTGCAGCATTAAAAACATTCTCCCCACAGCTTAACATTTGTACTATTGGGATTGATATCTGAAACAGGCCTGACCGCGTTTATACTTTTAACACCAAGGCTCCGTACATCAAGCCCCGAAACAGGCTGCTTCTGACAACCAGAGGTTGACAAAGCTCCGGACTTGAGGGCACTACTTTCTACCGACAGAGTGCAAACTTTGAGAACTTCATTACCTGAGGTAAATATAAGGCCAGTGGTCTTCTGTCGCTCAATCGAGATAATAGACAACCAGCGAAATACGCAGCATTAGCTTGAATAAGAGGCCATGGGCTATCGAATGCCTGTTAGATCAGAACGACTACCTTCAGTACATGGTTTACTTCTCATACAAAGAAGGACTTTAAAGAACTTTTATATCATGTCCGAACACTCCTATACTTCGCAATCCCCTCTCTATTAGTGTACATTTCGCTTACAAGAACAGTTCACACTAAAAGATCGTGGTAACAAGATAGTTGTACGTGGAGTACGATTACTTTGATATAGTCAGCTGCTATCATCTAGTGACCTTCAAAGGCAAGGGTGAAGCCTAAAACACGGACACAGTTACAAAAATGAAAGACCGCATTTGTGCTCTACCTTACCCAGCTTCGAATGCGAGCAGATTCAAAGTAAAAATAAACTTTATTGAATCATCCTGTTTATGACCAATGACTATTATTCGCCAAAAAGCAAGACTATGTCTAATAAACAAGGAGTTGCACAAGGGTCTGAATTCTGTAGGAGATCATCTTTGTCTGTTGGTTTACATGGAAGGTAACCAACCTGTATAGCAGAAATTATGTACGAGTCTGCTCTGTCTCCAAATTCACTGACTAGATGTTTCGAAAAATCTCTCACGAATTCGTCGTAGTCCAATCTGGAACAAGGAACTTAAACTGTAAGATGCATGCTTAATTTGATATGTAAATTTTGATGGAAGAGTACCCTCAAATAAGAACCCCAAGTTAAGGTAGCCTCCAAGGAACAATACTATCTGCGATTCATTATTTTCATTAAAGCCAGTCCTATCCTGAAGACCATGGATCCAAAATGGCTAAGAGGTGCGAGTAGTAAAACTTCAACAGAAGAGGACGCAAAGTAGTCTACGATTCAGGTCCAAAATCGTAGACTACTTTGCGATGATTCAGGACGACTCAATTCAACAACTACATCTCAATAAGCAATCTCTCATCGATGAAGAAGCAACAAAAGATTACCTTCGATCAGAATCGAAAGCCCTGGAGTTCATGAGGCTGGTTATTTCTTGCGCTTGCAGCAGTGGAGCAATTTTTCTCAGAGTTGCCTGCAAACAGGAATTTCAAACATGATCAATCTCAAAGGAAAGAAGAGCGGCACTTTCAGTTACAAGGTTTATGGTCCTCTATACTTCTCTTTGAACTTCTTGCTATTCTCACTTACAGATTGGCGACCCTAATCAAGAGACACTTCGGAGTGAAGTCGTCAACTGAGGTGGGTTATTTATGGGAGAAATAAATGAGGCGACTAGCACTTGTGGATGTTATTCTCGATTTACCTTGCAAGCATGTCGCACTGCTGATGCTTCATCATTGACATGAAAAATCAAACGTGGCAGACAACTATGAACCTGGCCAGACGGAGAAATGTTAGGTTACTGCATATGGCATGTCACCCGAAGTATATTCTGCTATCATTTCGAGCATTGATCCATTAAAATTGAAGAAATGTGTTTGGGGCTAACAGTCTTACTGACTGCATGCGCCAAGCAAATCAAAACTGCCAAGGAGGTCCATTATCAATCCTATATCTCTTCAAGCTTGTCGATAATCATCAAGATCTTTAATAATCACATCTAGCAACCACATAAGCAAGGACCGTTTAAGTAACGAATAGGGAAGATCAGTAAGTTGCCTGCTCAAGAAAAGCATCCTGTTGGCCACCAAAGTTGAATCTACTCAAAACTCCCAAAGCTGCGAAAGCTGCCGCACGCATGCTCAAATTTTGTCGACTCTGTGGAAGTGGATAAAAAACCAGATTATTGTGAAGTCTACGTTAGATCCGAATGACGCAACAGTTAGACGGCTTGCAGTAGCATAATTGCTAAGTGATAACTTTTTATCTCCTTAAATCTCTTCAATACTAAGTAACTTCAAGTTGTAAGACAAAAAAACTTGTGCGTATATAACATCTGGTTTCCTCGAACAGAAAACGCAAAACGTATATATTACTCTTCGTCATACTGTGCTATATAGAAATATCTGCTCAGTGAACGACTTATTGCTACATACTTTCGAGTCGTTTTGGAATCTGCCACTTACCTGAAGAGATCTGAGTCTAACACAAAGATTAAGCATAATTGGAGAAACATTTTCCTCCGGTACCACCTCCAACACCTGAAAATCAAGAGTAACCATCAAACGTCCACTCTGGAATAATCTTTATTAATCTGAACATTCAAGTGGATTCAAGTCCATGACGTAACTCCATCTTACCGAAGATAGTCCTTGTGCGGCTGCGAAAGCCACTTCTTCCTCGTCATCTTCTATCAGTGCGACGATGACACTCAGCACTTGAGAGGCATACTTCACAAGTTCTTTCTTTGGAATCTGCAAGTGATCTTAAGAGAATGTTTAGATACGAATGAAGACAACTTTCGCTCGTTTTCGCGTGCTCATGGTGCTGCTTATGGATGTTAAATCCGTGATAGCGCATGCAGTTTTAGCCCATGAGAAGACTGAACCATTTTCGTACCACATCCAGTGAGTACTGCAGAAAATAAAGACGCTCTAAAATAAATTACTAGTGCATGAGCTCCACCACCGATTGACTTGATCTTGAATCAGGTCAAACTTTCCTTTCTAGAAACGCACCGAGCAATACGACCTTCCTACATCGAAACTTCGGATGCCAAAAGAGAAAGACAGAGTAACCCTTCATCCCATTGATCTCATAACTAAGACACCAGTAAATCCCCCGAAATAGAATAAAGAAGATATCTTTTCACTCGAGCTGAGGTAAAGAAGAAATTGTTAGGCGCTCACGCATCGTACCTGAACTAGACCTTTCACACACAGACGGCGCACACTATGAGAATCATCTCCAATATGTGCACTTAGAGCACCAACGAGGTTATTCAACAAAGCATCTCCGTCACTGCAACGAACGAAAATACGCGACGTTAACATGTAGGTGTCATGTCGAATTATGCTATTTAGATGGACATACGACTCAAAACACAGTCTGTCATTTCAGAATGAGGTTACTTTTAATGCATAGCACTCAGTGCTGCTGAGGTTTGTATCGTTTGAAAATTACAGTGAGTAATAATACCTGTGCCTAATATACTCAGATAAAGCTGCAGCGGCCGCAGCTCTCTGAAAATCGTAGGGTCTCTTCAAAGCGGGCCAAAGAAGTGTGCAGATGCTGTTCACCTGGGTTTACAATCCAAGATTAATCAATCACATCAACCTTTCAAACCGTTCATTAAATCGCTCATTTCAAAGTAGCTAAGGTACTATTTATACCTCTTCAGGCCTTGATCTTGCAGAACATGTTGCTATTTCTTCTACAGCTTCTATCCATCGATCTCCAGAAAGACGATGCTCACCATCCCGAGCCAACACCTGCACACTCTCTCCGGTCCATGCATAACGTGACTTCTCGCTCTCGAAGTTTATAGTTTGAGGATTGAAATGTATTTTCAAATACTACTATTTGAAAACATCTTATCAGCGCATCAAGCTCAAGCTAAAACCCATCAACGCCTTACCTTGCCCATCTCTTCGTCATCAACACACTCGCAGAAGGAATGAAATGTTGAGACAACATCCCTGGCAAGCATAAGCACGGAGTTGATGAGAATAAGTTCTTACTTCCGGTGAACTTATGAAATAGTGGGCTGCGAGAAACTTCCCATGTGAATCCTTGACTATAACAGAGCAGTGAAGGTCCGGTCACACACCTCAAGGGTTGCGTCTCTAGCCCAATAGTTCCATGACAGCTCCCGATTCGTAAGACCAGCGAACATAGCACACCAGAATATGACTTTAATACTGCTAGCTTCCCGAAGGTACCTCTGTCAATAAAGACAAGACTAGTTTCAGTAAACTGCATTTGACAACTGGAAAGATGTCACAATTCAGAAGATTCACCCAGTGCAGGAAGAGGAGGTACGTAATTTAGCAAGCCTGGTACGACTTATTAGTGGTTGACCTGAAAATAGCTCCCAGTGCTAGTGTCGCTGATTGAGGCAAGGGATTGAGTGACGAAGGCGCTGACAACTGTTCATTGTCTTTGTCCACATCATTAGCTTTGTAGACAGGTGTCTGATTGATAACTCGAATTACATGCTCTAGAAACGGTAGAGCAAGAATTTCATGATCTGCAACAGCCTGTCATAACATGATATTGCAGACGTGAGAAAGCGGCAATTGCAGCGGAAAAGGACGCTAGTAATACTTATGTAATTTAACATTCTATCATCTGGTTTTCAATACATACACACGATGTGTATTCTCCATTATAATACGATCATATGTGCATCAGGATTTAATATAGAATGACTTCACTTACCAAGTATGCTTCCTGAAGTGGCAAGGGCCCTTTATTCCTGGCAGTGTCCTTTCTTGTTGAATCTTTTTCCGCAGAAGTCAAAAGTTCATCGAACACCACTTTGGCTTGAGCATGCTCGGCAAGGCAACAGATCTGAGTGTATGTTCGATTCCCTTTGGTCAGCTAAACTTATTGATGAGTAACTAAAAGGCGTAAGGAAGTATTCAAAGCAGTATCATATTCGTAAATGATCGCCTGCTTCAGATAAAATTCTTATTTGTTTATTTTTTCTGAAGTGGTAGTCCCCTCATGGATTGAGCTTTGTGAAAAAAGCACAACTCCATCTAGGTTTTTCAGCTACAAAAACACATTTCTTTACTATTACAAATCAGTTATTTTCTGACAACTCATTTAACGCGTATATCAAGGATGAGAAACATACGGAGTTCAAAACTTGTTGTCGCATCTTCTTGTCACCAACAGCCGCAGCAGAAGCCAATAATGATTGAGTGACTCTGTACATTTATTCCTTTGTTAGCACAATTGTTCCATCTTTTGTCCACAAAAGATCTTTTGTCCATCATTTGGAACAAGTTATAACTCTGAACTTAATGTCTATCCTTACTCGTGAAAGAAATAGGTTAAATAACAACAAATAAATTTCACGAATCCATAAACATGAAGATTCAAAGAACGATAGTGATAGGGAAAAGTGGACAAATTTCAACGCAATTGGAATGATTGAAATTGTGATTTACTTGGGAATGTCACTATCTTGCAGCTCATTGCCTCGCCTTGCAATAAGTTGTGTGACAGCCATGATGGTCCCTTGTGATGCTTGAGGAATCCTGTCACATATTGCCGTTTGGCAGCCCCGCAGACACGCAACGAGCTGCACATCCACTGAAGTCAAAACCTGAACGCTGTCGTACAATATGGCTACTTCCCTACCTGTATCGTATAAACTGTAGTGAGGGGTTAACCAATATATGACTTGTACTCTCTTTGATGTGAAAACAGGAAGATCTAGGAAGAACTCATGGCTGCACAAACCAGATAATATTTTAAATATAAGTGGTTGATATGCCTTACTTCCTCTGATGTCAACAAAATTCCGACGGATGCCACTATACGCCTCATTACGTCGATCGTATCACTAGATGAAGCCTGAACAGCTTCGAGAGTTAGTATAGGATCTTCTCCAACTTCTGTGGGTGACCAATAATATGCAATGAACAGATTATATATTGATCAGTTTATGCTTCGCGTTTTCGATTTCTAATCATCTTTTATTCTCGAATTTCAAGTTCAAGCTCAACGTAATAAAGCTTCCACGGGAACCCCGAGAGGAGAATCTACCATACCGAATGGCTAGTGCATACCCAATTCGTTACTGCGATCAGCTCCTCTAGAGCTGACAACGCAGCGTATGAGGGTTGTTTGTTTTCAGTGGCTGAACCCACTAGCTTCGGCAATAATAATGCAATGCTGAAGAGGAGGTCGAGTATCTGCGTGAGATCAATCCAATGAAGCAACACGTTTACATCTTGATTTGTTTCCTAAGAGCCACGCAGACACGCAAAAAAGTGCTAATCCCGTACAGAGGCCAAATACATGTCAAAGCGAATCATGAAGGCTAAACAACTAGGAAGAACACAGTCCAGAAATACATTACCTGTGCAGAGGTCTTCCTGATATCTGATGTCACATCGGCACAGCGGGGTATATATGCCATTGTTCTCTCTCCAAGCTTCAGCTCTTCGCGAGGTGGTAAGAGAAGTGGAGCTGGCGATCAAAAAGTTACAACAGATATTTGGAAGAATTACTATTTCGTGGAGTAGAAAAAATTAATGAAAGCACAAAATTAAATTTATGGAACGTCTGTGCAAAGCGAATTGAATTTAGACTCTTTGTCACTGCCACAGGGTCAAAATCGGCATTACTGACATTTCCTGTTCTACAATCTGATGGACTGATTTGACCTGGAGAGCCACATGTCTCATGTGGTGCATTGGCACAGCCTTTATGCTTGGAATAAGTCAGGTCACTATGTTCACAAAAATTTTAAGAATGTTATGGCATATCAAAAACCGCCAGGCCTTCATACTCGGCAGGATGCAAAGGCTTCATTAAAAAAAAATAAAAAAAAATAAACGCATTCTATAAGATATCATCTCTTCTAGAAAGCGACCAACGAAAACCTCAACATCTAGAAGAAATCTTGACTCGCAAATGTGCATGGAGCTCAGGAAACTCTATGCAAACCTCTGATAGATTTTTGGCTATAAATTTGAATTACTTCGAGACTGAATCTCTTACTCAATCCTTACTCAATAAGGAAAAAGACATGTTTGAAACTAACCTGACGTATTGCTCATACTTCGATCGCCGAAAGATGGAAGATGCATACAGTTATTGCCGCAATTTACAGGACAAATACCCGTAGTGCAAAGAGCTCTAAACTGCCGAAGCACGGCAAGGACGGATACACATGCTCGCTCTCGCTGATGCTCAACAGGTGAAGAAACATACTGATCAAGGTTCCTAAGCAGATGTTGCAACTGATCTGCCCTACTCTTCCCATCTTCTGCGCTGTTTCGTACAAAACGTTCAAACGAAAAAAGCAGTTACGGTATCTAGGGCAAGATATATCCATCTTGACTTCTAATCAAGTGTGTATACCTTGCGACACCTGTAATCACGTAAAGTCGATCTTATAACTGTAAACATTTGAAAGCACTGTAAGTCACATGTGCAAAACTAATGTTGACACCTATACACGAAGTTATAACGCAGAAAAGAAAAAGTGAGTCATTCTGCTCCATTTGAAACATTCAACTTCTTGAACATACATACAACCTTCTGGTATCACAATGAACGAATAGTAGCAAGGACAAGATTCGAATCAAATCGCGAATATGATCTTACCTCGTCAGCAAAATAGCACACAGTAAAGTTGTCAAGTTGGACAACAGAGAATTGACGATTGCAGAAGGTTCAGAAGGTAATGCAAAAAAGCCCAAAGTAGCCTGTGATAGCAACAGAAAGTCAACCATCAGCCATCAACTAATGATAACGGCAATCATCATCTCACGGCCTCCTGGTACTATAAAATGTTGGTAGATCCATAATGAAAAACATGAATCTGCACTGGCTGGTAGTCCAAGCTACTTGAGATAAGTTACCTGAAGAATCCGATCTCTAGCAACCATTGGCAATTTGGGCTCCACAGAAACCAATGTGGTACACGCATTGACAGCCAATTCCTACGAAAGCCAGGAGTTTAATAAGAGAATACTCCACTCCCATGAGTCCTGACGTTACACACAAACTGATTTAAGCATTCTAGGCCAGGCCAATCATGACTCTCAAGAAGGAACAGTTCATGCGAAAATAATGGAGGCAGCCTAAACATCTCTTTAATATAGTTAATCCAAGAGTTTAGAAAAAACTTATTAGATACCCATAGATACTTACCATTGCAGTATCGTACCATTCCATTCTGACTCATGCAATGACAAACTAAAGCATGGAAGCATTATAAGACTGATATCCTTTACATACTACGCAGTACCATAAGTTACAGACGAGATTGTTATGATAAGTTACTGACATGATTACAGACACTAATAAAATTTTGCCAGTATAAGTGACATGAAGCTCCACGAGGATTGACCAATAATTCACAGATAAGTAAAGACCATTTTAAGATGAAGGTGTCAGAGATACCTGTGTGTGTAAAAGTTGCTCCGTCTCTAGGACACTTGATGCTCCTAAGATATAACCTGCAGCCTGAGACTGCCCTGCCATAAGAGCCATGGTAAAGTCCAACATTTGATCCCTCTTTTTTAACGGAAAAGGAGCTCCATTGGCACCGGCTCTGATGACTGCCTGACCTGCATACGTACGAAAAATTTTAATCGCAGTCCTACTAGTGTCATTTCAGAGGCAAAAGAATGAGAAAACTGAAAAAGTAGTACACATGAAGTGCTACCTAGGAGGTCGATGGCAGTGATGACGGCCTGTTTAGCTGTTGCTGTGCGGACGCCCAGCAGTCCTGAGAGCATGTTGGTGCCCTGGTGTGATCAAACGAGTAGATTTCCGGAGTATTTAAGCAGACAAGATGACGTGCGCAATACAGAAAAAGCACTCATATGAATAGAGGACACAGTATGACTTGCAGATGCAGAAAACACAATCCCCAAAATCAAGCACTTGATTATTGCTCAAGGGGCTACATTACATCGTTCCTCATGCTCCAAGGCTGCTCACAATTTTCTGCCTGAGCAATCCCTATTCTCGAAAGTGGCGTGCTTTGAAACTTGGTACTCTTCAGACGACAACCTGTGCCCAGTTAACAATATGTGTCGCCATGTATTACGTGTCCACACTGACAGGTCACGCTGAAGTCATGGAGTTCTTACCACAAGTGTCTCAATCCGTGCTTCTATCGCCGATGAGGGTGCGTACGAAGCAGCGTATCCATACATCAAAGCCAATGCAGCAAATACGTCGTCCACATCTGGCCGGTTGCTTTGATCAAAGAAGACTGACAGAAGGCTGCCAATGCACAAGGACAACTTATCATTAAGAAGGGTTTGTGAAAGCGCCAGTCATGGCCCCGAGAAGACAACAAATAACACATATGGTCACTATTAATTGTTGTTGACAATGCAGATGTACATCCACTGCACAAGGCACTTCACCGTTTCTAACTGACTTCTCTTCAATCTCCTTGAACCTATTGGTCCCTTGTGGACTTTAAAGGTTGATATTAGCAGATTGATAATATTCTATAGAGGCCACATTTGCACACAAAATTTAAATCTATCAAGCTAAACCGGGTCGGAACCGTAAATTAGAGAATGTTGTTTTCGGTTTCTTGACAAAACAGTTAAAAGATGGAAGAGAGAGCTCACCGTCGAAATCTATTTCGACCTTGGCTTTCCAGAACCTTCTTCAGCTTCTCTAAAACTGTGTCAAGATGTGACGCTGCAACCTGGATACAAAATCAAGAATGAGAAGGAACATCTGAAGGTAACAAGTACTCCGTTACAAAAAAAAATTGAAATGCCCAACTCGCTGACGTGGCACGATTGTTAATTTTTCAACTCTCCAAAAATGATATCGCAGGGACTTATATACTGAAGAGACCCACCAGTCCCATTCCCATCGCCAGCCCGAGCCTATTAGCTTCATTTGCGACATCTGCTCTCTTGTACATAAGAGAGATTTTCCTCTGCACGTAATCTCTGTCATCCAATTTCTGAAGTAGCATACCTAAGCACCTGCAAAGAGGCCCCAAATTCTACGTAGCATGTAATCCAAGCTTTCAAAGCATTTGCAATACGCAAAACCGATAATCACGTATACGTTCATTACATCTGGATATACGTGCAGATCATGTGACCAGAAGGTTGGTGAAGAGAGCAGAATGGAGATAATCAAATATCTGTCAAACTCAGGAGGTACATATAAGCAGGATGACGCTCAAGTTTTTCCTGCTGCATCTTTAAGTTGCTCTTCTGTAAAGAGGGGGTGACTTTTGGGATCGTCCTCCTTTTTGGACATAAAAAGCCTTCCAATCGTTTAAGCCTTCGGGTTATGATCTCATTGATGAAATCATAACGAAGAGGATAAAGTGAACCGTATGACTTGAAGATAACGAGGCACCAACCCGTGACATTCATTCTTTAGGAAGTTATCAAAACCAAATATCATCAATTTCAGACAGAACGGATCAAGAAACAGACGCCAAATGGCGTAGTCAACCGTGTATACACTGTACAGATTAGTTTTTTCTTTTCAAAGACTAAGACCACACACTTTAAGGGTCTCTCTTGTAGTGGCAAATGTACCTGTGAATGAGATTATTTCCGAGTTCCCGGGTATCAAGCAAGAAAACATTTACTAACTCATCGACCAGGCGATCACAAAACCGGAGTACATATCAATCAAACGTGCGGCTGCCTTGGGTTTTGGACTAAGGCCAGTTGAGTCCGTTGAAAGATTGTGTTTAAAATTGATCAAACCAATTTCGTCTATCGAATTCTGGAAAATATGTAAAGGCGAATGTATACCTGTGCAGCAAGGCGGAGTGTGGATGATCTCCAGTATATAAATCGTAATGACTGGCAAAAGCGTTACCAAGACTGAGTGTCCACTGAGAGTTCTGTATAACGTCAATAGATTCTGACAGTAGCTGCGAGGCACAATTTCACTCTTAGAAGCAAGTAAAACATTTCAAGTATGCAACTATAATATTTCGTCCTTCTCCTCAAATATAAACTTTCGTCTCCTGAAATCCTTCGCTCTTCGTAAGCGCAATACAGCTCGAACGTGGACTAAGAAATGTGTTTGTAGCAAAACCAAGGACACCAGGGATACAAAGCTAAACAATCACTAAGATTAACTTCTTCATCGCATCGATCGAAAGCTCTTCATCCAGTTCTGACACTAGACCTGACTTCTCTCCTATGCTACTGGGTAATACTTCAGCGCAATTGCAGTCCGAGGTAGACTTACATGCACAATCATATCGTCCCAGGTAGCTTGCTGCCAGGACTCACCACGCATATCCTCAGGATCACTAATGAACGCTTTCAGTTTTGGAATCTATTCAAAACAGGAGGCCCAATAACAAGGCTCAGTAATGACGGTCAAAGAAACTCAAATGTTGATATCATCAACCTGCACTATGCATAAACCTCTAGATGTACAATAATAGTTTGTTTGTAATATCAAGTACATGTTGTACTTGAGCAGGAAGCTCCAGAAAGAGAAAACTACTCAGGCGTGTTCTTTTAATATGTAAACATCGGTACCAAAATCGTAAGGATACGAGGGAGAGATACGGCACAGAAAAACGATTTCAGGCGATTTTGAATTTGACTAATCATGCTACATCACTACTACAAGTCCTGATGGCAAATCCAACCCCACCAAATTTTACAGTTGAAAAGTGTGCTGGACTTCCAGACACTAGTTGGTGACTAGAAAGTCATTGCGTTACAAGAAACTGAATGTTTCCGCGAATATAATCTGTCCACACACAACTAGCTATCTTTTCAAGTCTTTGTATTTGTTCGTGACATACCTCATCCTCCCAAAGCAGGACGACAGACTTTGGAAACAAAGGTGCCAGATAGAAGAGTACCTGCAAACACCAAAAAAAAAATTTTAAAAAAAGTAGCCATCCAAGATGGGAAAAACTCTGACCCTGAAAAACTGACTAGACAACAGCTTTCTTTACTCCACGCCAAGTTCGCACACAAATGGTTTGGCTCCCCAGAGTGGAAAACTTTTGAGAAAGGTGACCAACCGTCAGAATTCGGGCAGCCAGTTGTTCTCTAGCCATTGGGTTCTGTAAAAGTACAAGTAACCGCGCTAAAATTTCCTGCACATTTCACAGTAATACATTATTCACCCCTAAAAGAAATTGAGAAATCTTCCAAATAAATAAGACTCCGAGAGGCACAAATGGTTTGAGGTGAGTAAATGTATCAATTGATCGCTTATATCTCTCAGGAAGGGTGTGATTGCAAACTTACATCAGGATGTGGGACACCAGAAGATGCTGCATAGTCTACGGTCATGATTTCACCGGAGGCCAGTCTTCGTCTTGAAATCTCAGAAATACATTTGCAAACCTACAAAGAAGGATGGACAACTGATTTGAGAATCTCCCCAACGATAAATATGTTTAAGAATTCCTTAAAACTTTTCGCCAAATGTTGACACATAATGGGTAATTTATAACTCAAGTAAGTCTTCAAGACATATCTATTCCGTCATCTGACTGTAGACTTCTGAAGCCAGTCACTCTACATACTGAAAACAAATGAGGATGATTTACCGTTGCCACGGCACCCGTATAGTTGATTGGTATGAGCACCTTAAGAAGGTATGGCCACAAAAAGCACTGCACGTTTGACAAAGGCTGCATTGTCAAGCATAGACTAACAAGGAGTGACTCTGACATGGGATCTTGAATCTGCAGGTGCTAGTTTAAGAGCTGCTCTCGAGTATGCTAAAGTCCAAAAAGAGGAAATAAAACATAGTTAATAAGACAATATTTCTAAATAGGAAGTGCATGCCTTATCAAAGGATACTTAGATATAGCAAGTCTAAGTCTCTCTATAGTCCTCTTAACTTCCATTTACATTACCTTATGGGGGTTAGATTCTACATTTCGAGACTACAAAAAACTTTAAATAACCGTTGAATTATCTTCAAGGTTCCTACTGAGCCAACCGCTATGCCTTTGAAGACGAAGGGTTCAAAATAAATTTAAACAAAGAAATAATCCCCAAGGAGTTTCACAATATCAACCTCTTACCTCTGTCTCGGCCATGGTGCCGGCGAGGAGGAGCAAGCTCTTCTCACAAACAGCCCGTAACTCTGCTGGTGATACTGCTCCAACTTTTAGCTATCAGCATACGACGGAGTATTGGTTAACTTACTACCAATTTGAGACATCAAATTCGTGAAAGTACTCACCCCAACTCACATAGCCATAATTTTGTCACTAAGATTGTTATGTAGTTTATGCGTCCAATCAAAGTTTTTGCAGTTCAAACTTCACAAACTCAATATGTAGCAAAATCATCATTAAGGCATAAGAATTATCCCAAAATTATCACATGAACACATCTTACTCATTATGACCTCTTCAAGGCGGGTAAAGCTAACTAGCCAGCCAATGAAGAACTATTGTGGAAGGTCCAAGCAGAATCTCTTCCTTATTCTCATACTAACAAAACATAAAATTTCTCCTTTTCCTTGTCTAGTAGTTTTCATTCTCAAAATTAGAATTCCACCATCAAACTGACGGCATAGAGCAGAAGAAAGAACACCTCATTTTTGCTGGGAAGAACTGACGGCAGCCCCATTGCCTTCTCAATAGCTGTTTGTTCTGTCCTGTATGCCTCGACTTCACGATCAGGAATCGCACATTGCCGTACCAAGAACTCCATGAACAGTTCACTGCTGTCCGCTTCCATGTAACCATTTGCTGCAATTGCAACAATTAACTGCAAATATAAACAAAATTCAAAATTTCAGGATGAAGGATTCACCATGTGTCTAAGATTACACTTGCAATGTGAATCATATCCAGAAAATATGAATTCATGTACGGATGAAGTCTCATTTTGACACAAGTCAGAGAAAGCTGTATCCGATGAGGCTCTTTGCTTTAGACTTAACACCTCTGCAACAGCCTTCCTTGTATTTAAATCGGATTCTTGAAGAAGAGATTTAACAGACTCAGCCAGCGCTGTCCTTCTTGTCATCCATGTTTCTGACAACCTGAAACTGGCAACCTCAAAATGAATTATCCTACCACCAGAAATTTCGTCTGAACTGGAAGACTACATATGATATACGATGGAATATTTTGCCCTAAAAAGGACTATTAATGGAATAATAGTTATTCAAAGTTTAGTAAGTTCAAAATCGTTTCAAATAAATTGGGTAAAGAAGACATGCACTGCACCTGGTAAGGAGATGTTTAAGCACTGAAAGAGCTCCTAGTCGAGTTCCTTCTTCGCGGGATCCAATTCGCTGCATCGATTACAGATGTTGACATAGGATCAAACATCTTCGTTACCAGGATATTGGTTCAGTGATATTCCCGGTTAGAATCAGAGAAAATACTTGCGAGAAATCAAATGAAGTATATAAAGAAAAGTACATACATGTATGAGATCATGAAACATGTCTTCAGGGCAGACAACTCCGATCGTAACAAAGCATCTCATCACTTCATTATGATTCTGCAGCGTTTCGAGTTGAGAGATACAAATGGATTGATGTCAGCATCATTCTTCGAACGATGATCGCAAACGAAATAATAAAAGTCTTGAAAAAGGATAAAGCAGATTTGAGCAAAACAAGATGTCAAGATATAAACATTCAAGTTCTTTATAAACAGGGTGATCAGAAAAACTCACTTTCAGATAAAAACTTGGATCACAATCCTTTAATTTGTTGGATGAAACCGATGCCATAGGAATGATTGCATTCAAAACAGGAGTAAGTGCCTGCAAACGACACACATGGGTCCTATATAGAGTAAGAACCCCGTCCTGGAAACGTAACTTGCTTGTAGGAGCTACGCGGTACGTGAGGATTAGTTCAACTTTATAGAATAGTCTACTGAACATGATATGATACGTCTCTCAATGAAAGAAACCCAATCCACGGAATCCATTCAAACCAGATAATCAGGGGCTAACAACTTTGTATACAAAAGATGATTCAAGTTGCAGAAGGAGACCTCAAAATTGAGATCCGCGTCATGACTAGCTATGAAGATCATAGCGTTCAAATTGAATATAAAGAATGACTTTTCATTTGTACCTGGAAGTCTATCATAGGAACTCTTTCTCTGGTAATTAGCACAGTATCAAGAATCATGTGCAAACTGCGTGTAACTGGAAGAAGATCCTCTCTTTCTTTCTTCAACCTGTTGGAATTTATTTTTTATGATCAGTAGGTTGGAACCAAAAACTTAGAAATAAGAGAGAGGAAAATGCATGAACAACAGAGCTCCTGATTCACATGTGCTTTCTAGGATGAGAAACATCTTACACTCCTAAAATTGCAGGGAGGATCCTTGGCAGAGCTGCCTTAAGTTGTAGTCTACCGATGAAGACAACCATCTCTCCCAGAGCCTCTGCAGCTGCTAACCGTACCTGCTTGCAGAACATTGGTGAGATTCAAAAGAATGACAAATACTTTGCTGTTTACAGGAACCTTATACCTAATTGAAACATGGAGTCCTATTGCTTTTTTGCCAAAGCATTCCTCATCTCTAGGATTGAAAACACTTTGAACTTGGTAAGCTTCAAGCCACTACTGGACAGGAATGAAATGTCCACTGAGGCTTAATACGATTATCAAAGCATATAATATAAATTTAAATCGGTGCACATGAATGGAACTTGCACAAACTAGTTGAGAACTCACCTTAGGTTCACGCGATGAAACCCAAGAATTCAAAAACAAATCGAACACTGATTGAAACAAAGCTCTGTAAAGAAGTGGATTTGAATCAGGTGAAGCAAAACTAGAACTCTAAGATATCACAAATGTAAAAATGCATCCATGCCAATTTATCCAAAAAAACGCCTTGATGACAGAATGATAAGACCATAATTTATCGATATAAACTCTTATTGCACATGCATGGTTAAGGGATGAATGAACTGCACATGAAACGCAAGGGGTCTACAGTATACCACTTACAGGACACACAATATGAGGCAAAAGGCTACGTGACAGAATGGCAACAAATGATAAATTGTATTGGAAGCCTTAAGTAACAGCTTACTGCATGTCATTGTCGACTAGGTTCACATTTGGACAATCTTCATGATACTGCACTATTGCTTGGCACCAGCACGTGAAAGCTGAAAAAAGTGAAAATAGAATGTAAGAAACACATGGAAAACTAAAATATTGGACACCGAAAAGACCTGACAAGAGCTATTCAAATTCTGTCGTAAAACTCTAGCACTCATTTTCGGCTCCACTCCAAAATATGAAACTGGATATTTAACTGTTGATGATGCATCCGGGAAAAACTTGGAAAAAAAAGCTCGTGAATCGTCTTACTGGAAATTTTGAAACAACACTGCAACAAAGATACATCTAAGTTGATTTGAGTTCTGGAAGACAACTTCACAAAGTATGGACACAAACAGAAACACGCCGCAGAAGCACTGTGTCTGCCTAACAATGGTGACGTTGGACTCTTCTTGAAAGACTTTCTCACAGAAGTATTACCTTTAGCAAATGCCCGGCGCTGATTATCTCTCACTCCTCCAAGAACAGGGAGAACGCGTGACAGAACTCCCTTAACCCTCGGTGCAAATTGTAATGCTGATTTGAATGTCGAGAAAACACAACTATACAGCTTAGCTAGCTTATCACGACATTAGTCTACTAATAGGTTAACATTTGAATTTGCAATTTAGCACATGTTCTTCAACATTCACAACCATGAGGAACAAACTCAAAAGACAGATCCAAAACTATACATCCGGAAGTCCACGTCAAGAGGAACTAATGGAACTTTTCTCTTTGATTCTAGAAACCAACAAATGAAGAATGATGAGATGTAGTTACCATCTACTGTTGCAAAGTCAGCGAAAATTGGAACCACAGCATACACAGGTATCATATTTCCAGCGAGTTGCAGGAAAACTTCATCCATCATCTGCGAGAGAAGGAGTAAGAAAAATAACCCCAGCAAAGTAGATCTGTCAGCAGATCAACAATTCAGGGCATAACGAAAAAAATGAAATATCAAAACTTGTGCACTCCACGTCAAACCATGTCCAATTTGGAGAGAATAACGTACCATATCTGGTAAACGAGAACCTAAAGCGACAAGAAGACTCGCGGCAGCCCGCTGCCAGTCACTAGTGTAATCCTGGACACGAACAAGAGCGGTCAGTGATATATACCATGACAACTCATATAAGGGATTGATCAGCTCATAAACAAAAGTAAGTCAAAGATTTTCAAATATGGACAGGGAGGAAGAGAGAGTCCTCGCGATGCGCCATAATGGGTTTCTGAAAGGACATTTCAAATACCTTAGTGCTCGTCATTTCCCCAAGTGCTACTTTAGCCATTTTCCTCATAAATATAGGATCTAGCTGCTCCTCTCCCATGTTTTGAACAGTGTAAGCCATAATCGAGAATACTCCAGCATGGTGGCTACCAAACTGCCCTCCGCGCTGAACATAATTTTTGGCCAGCATTCCACAACATAAGCTCTTCTTTTCCGAAACCTATGAACAAATTTGCCCAACGGATTATACCGTGGCAAAGTTGCAGTGAACCTAACGTTCAACAACAGCTAACCAGATATGAGTGTACAAGTCCCAAAGATGCGTGTCTTTCTATCCTTTCGGTCAGTGTTTGCTTCGAAAACCAGAGTGACAATGGATGTGCTGGTTGACGTCCTCTTACTCTTTTCCCGACTCGCAGGCTCGCTGTACAACAGTCGAGTATAATAGCAGCATTCCTGTAAACAACAAAGACCGCACCCTCCCACTATCAGAAGACAAAAATTAAGTCGTTGTTATTTCATTATGAAACCATTCTCATAATGAATATAATTTATGAAAAAATATATATTTCCTCGGATTCATGAGCTACAGAATTTGTCAAAAATCTGCAAAACGAGCGTATTCACGTACTGCTGTGCGTTCTCCCGTAACGCTGCGGCAGCGGCATCTCTGACTAACAGAGAGCTATCAGCAAGGGCCCCAACAAGTACTCGAATCACGGCTGGACAACCCAAATTCAGACGTTCCAACTGTAAGAAAATGAGATGCATCCAAAAATCTGGTATCCTGATGACTCCATACCGCAATCACGCTAGAAGTGTCCTCAGTGCAATCATAATGTCAATCAGTTATCCACACTTCAATTGCATGTAAAATTAAGGCTGTCAACCATCAGAGATAAGTTAGAAAATCTAGTTCAGGCGATAGAAATGTGTAAAAACAAGCAGTTTGAGAATCTCAAAAAAGAAGTGACATGAAGGAAATTCGGAATGAACAGGCCTTTTTTCTTCGATCAAGAGAGGTATATCCAAAAAAGCAGAGAAAACAAAAAACTGCGTTGTGTGGACTAATTGGTCGATTATGAAAGGAAGCGCTGGGCAGAACAGAGCAGCCACAGATGGAAATGTATCGCGAGAGAATTGTTCGTTGGCACATCATTTTTCAATTGTATATTCTCGCAGCGGCAGATCGCCAGTTGAATTCTCGTGAATCTCGCAAACCTGTCAAATATAACATGATAATAACTTCTAGCACGCTTTCCGGCTTGTACGTCGCATAACCCTGTGCTGCGAGCACTAGAAATTCAAGCTCTTGATCATCTATAACACGGAAGCAAAAGACCGCCAAAACAGATGCTCATGCGCTTCCACTACCAGCCTGCATGCGAAATCATCCACCGGCGACCCGATCGATCCATCATCCACCGCAATTTACCACCCACCTGTTCTCGGGGTAACAGGCCCGCCATTGCCAGCCATCCAGAAGGAAAGGAGAAAAGAATTTCAAACCGCTGAAATTCAAAATCTCGAGCTCCTCCTTCTCCTTCTTCTTCTTTTCACTTTCTTGCTAGCAGATGATCCAGGAGCCAGAGCCGACGAGCATTCTACACCGGTGGGCATATCCAGAGCATGGCAAGAAGAAAATTCGTTAGATTGCCTGTTCTGCCCGCCTGCCTGCCTGTCATGAGCAATTTCCCCCGGATTTCTCCGTCCACTGTTATAATATGCGACACTTCTAAGGCTAACATAAATGTCGGGGTGTCTCTGTAGAAGGAAGAAGAAAGAGCCCCCTTCCGACGAGCTGCGCTCGCGCTTTTGCTCCCCTCTTTTTCCTCTCCGGCTCCCGGAGAACGTCCTTTAATCTGGCTTAAGCAGCGTGATTAGCGGCCAGTGCTCCTTCCCTCCTCGTGGGCCCGACCCGGCCCGGCCCTCCTCTCCTCCTCTCCTCCCGATTTGGACCCCGACGGGAAATTAGACCGGGACCAAGAGAATAGTCGCGCTGCCGAGACCGGCTTCAGCTGCGAGCCCGCGAACACCGCTCCATACTGCGGCAATCGGGGTCTGCCAGGTCACCGCGAGCGACTCCTGCCTAGCGCTCCTTTCCATCGAGGCAGTGGCAATTGCGCTCGAAACTTGTCTGTTTGTTCTGTTAACCAAGTTCATCGGGGCCGCTAGATTAGCCTTCCCGGGACTCTAGACTGCCGTAAGATTTTCATAGATTCGTTCTCCCATTCCTGGAGACTTGGGCCTGATGAACTCCGCCTTTAAATTGCTCTACTTGATGTACGATCGATACTTCGGACTATTGTTCTGCGAAACGTTTCACCCGCATAGATGGTTACGATATGCTCCGTGTTGTATAATATAATTTCATTCGCGATCCTATTCTGGCTAAGCACATGTTAACTATTTGGTTTCGTCCCTGTATTGCTCGATGGTAATAGTCTCATATGATATTGTCTTTTATCTTGTCCATTTCCATTTCCAAATCGGATAGTGGTATAAAAAAAATATTTTTGTTATGTAAAACCATTCCTTTGTAAGGATTTTATTAAATAATTTATGATAGATTATTGATTGATACTACAACACTATATACGTAAGAAATATTTCAGATAAGAAATTGATTTGTGGACTTAATGAATTTAGCAATAAAGTCTGCCCAAAAAAATATTAAAATATATTTTTACAATATTTAAAGTAAAAAATCCTCATATAAGTGCTTTTCATTAGAACTTATAATAATATGATGTCTGATAAATTATGTAAAAAAATTCATTTTCATTAAAAAATAAGCAAATTTATAATCAATAATAATGTAAAAAGTATTTACAAATATCTAGTGATATAAGATTATGACAATCATCCATGTACAATCACAAATTTATGCAATTTGAGATATAATTTGAAATAAAGTATATGATTTTTATCATTTATTTCTTTGAATAATATTTCTAAACAAAATTTTTACTCTTATTTATTTTTAACATGAAATTTTCAACAAAAATAAAAGAAATTTTGAATGAAAATTAAAAATTTAAAAATTAATCTAAACAATCAAATTTTATGTAGGATTAAAATTAAATGAGATAATAATCTTAAATTTTTACAATAGCCCAAGTAAACAAGTAAAAGTGAACACAATAACAATCTAATGCAGTTTAAAATATTTTTTTGAGTATAGGAACCACTTCACATATATAATTGATTATCACTTAAAAAACCGTCAAGTCTTTATTATCTATAAATATTTAAAAAAAACTATGTTTTGTAAAGATACAATTTTATTATGCTTATGATAGATGAAATCAATGTGTTACTTTTTTTATTAATCCATCACAAATTCAACGATTGAATGTGATATATTTTGACTCTCTCATTAATGATTCATGATATCATACATTATTTTAATATTTGTGACAAGCTGTTCTAACAAAATCAACTTCTTTGCTACTTTTATTGCCACTACACATTCAAATTTACATTGAACACAACATAATTTTTTTTAGATTCTTCTATATTCATCTTCAAATGTAGACATATATTATGTTGGATACGTTTTTTTTCATACATTCATGAAATATATAACTCTAAATTTTAATCAATGTGTTATTCCTATATTTGAATCTTGCTAGAACAATGTTAAACGTAAAGCAAATCTTCAAAAACATGAATCTTTGTCATAGTTCTAAGACATGATTTTGGACATGAAACGTTTTACTCAAAATATTAGTATTATAGTAAGTTGATGAAAGTTAGAAGTGTTGAACTATATTAGAATTTACAGCATTGTTGTTCTTCACGTCAAAGATTGTAGATATTTTTTAGTATATTTGGCTTAAATTAAACTTTCTAACTTCAAGAATTTTTAGATCTTCATTTTAGGACAAAATTTGCATCACCAAGATTTTTTATTTAGATTTAAAAGTAAAGTTGATTCTAAAGCTTCTTATCGTATTTTTTTTGTGGATATAATCAACATGTCAATCACAAAACATTTTCAAATAATAAAGTCAAAATATTTAATTATTTATATTTTTCAGGTTTATAAAATAATCAAATACACTCCATATGCATCATTATAATCTCATCAAAAAACTAATCTTTTTTTAAACATACAAGTATTTTAAATGAGTTGTTTCATGACAAATATTTGGCATTTGAATATTTAATTTCATTATAGTTGATTTTTGTTGTGGAGTCCGTCAGTCAACAGTGAACTTCAAGTTACATCAATCTGCAGAAGTGTTATTGGGTTGCTACAAGTGTGAGATTTCAGATATGTCATAGACTCAACTTGAATGGAAAAGTTAAATGATGCTATTTGGGAGAAGTTTGAAGCTTGTTACATGCAAGATGATGACAAATGAATATACTACAAGTGTTTCGCTTGCAATGAATAGACAATTGCGGCAGTGGATGACATGTGCAATCACTATGTTGGTTGCAAGAAGCAATCACGGTCAATAAGCCAAGTGGATCAATATGGCACGGTCAATAGGTTGCGTTTGTTAATTCAGATATAATTTTAATTTTTTAAGCAATTAAATAAAAATTTCTCAACATTCAATCTTTTATTTAAATTATGCAAGTTCATTGAAAAGCTAATTGAATAACAAAACAAATCATTTTTTTGCTATTCTACTTCATTTTATATGAGAGTCATTATCTTTGAATGTGTATGTACGTAATTTTATATAATACTTGTGTTCATACATATGAAAATATTTATAAAATTGTGAATTCATTCAATTGCTTGATGATATAAAATTATAAACATAAAATTATTCTTTTTTATAGTTTTATACATTTTTTCTTGACATTTGAATCAACATTCAATATATTCTATCATTTTTATGCCATGACATTGATTTTACTTATTTGAAATTCATTGTAGATTTTGTTTGAAAATTTATGTTTTATCAACATATCCATATAAATCAAAGTAAAAAAATTTCAATTATTTAACATATAATATATATACGAGAATGTTAAAACGACCACATTTCATGTTAAAACTACAACAAACGCGTCACCTGTCAAAAACAAATATTTTGGTATTCAAGTTAAGTATCATTTCCTAGCAGATTTTTGACTACCTATTGATACATACATTTAGATAGCAAGTCAATACTTTGGTGCAGTGCAATGATTAGGTCCATAGAAGTATTATCTATGATGGTGTTTTTTGCATAGGAAGTAGGGGGAATCCAAAAACACAAGCTCACAGTTCATGCTTGGGCTTGTGTGTGAAAAAAATATGTTTAGACGAATCATGTGACCGCGAGACGCGTCTTTGGCATTAATGTTGTTGTTTAATATTCGTGTGTGTATATATATATATATGTATATACCACACACGAATGTTATACATACATGTTGAGATGAACAATTAAACTAAATATAAAACATAATAATTTTTTTGTCATATCACATACTCACTATATGTCATTTTTATGATAAATTTATATTTAATTTTTATATATTTTTAAATTAAATTGCATAACTAATCAATTTTTACAAATAATAATGAAAAAAATGAATCTAATTTTTTATAAAATTTTGATTATTAAAATAAAAAATGATAACAAACTTATGAAAATAATAATAATCAATTCAAACTGCTTTGCATATTATCAATTACATAAAAAGTTCTTATATTCTACTTGTTTCACATGAATAAAAATATATACTTATGTTTATTTAATTGCATACAAATTATAAACAGACTTATGATATGTTTAATGATTAGGATAAGGAGATTTTTTGACAAAATCCAAATTTGAAATCAACGTGAACTTTAGTACTAGAACTCAATCTAACTACATAAAATTGCAATGGTAATTATGACATTATCAATTAAAACTTGTGGAATGATCTTGTAGTTATGCAACTTTTAATATCCAAGTATAGCGTAACTCTTTCCGTCACAAATCCAAAAAATGTTGGAAAATGATCATATGAATTCTTATTTTTAATAGTTACAATAATTTTTTTCTCACTATGATCAAATTTTACAACGATTTGTTGTCATGGATTTTTAACTAAATAAAATTCAATATTGATACTTAATCATCATATATCACACTCATCATACTAAAAATTGTATATTCAATTCATATGAAATAAACATTCTCATCATCCATACTAGATAACCAAAAGTATTGTATAGAGAAACGAGATTACTTTCATTCATATGATTAATTGATTTTATATGAAGATTATGATATGACAAATCATTGTTTGTTGTAATCACCTATCATGATTCTATTGTCAATGAATGTAGTTCAATTTGTTCGAAGTGTGAAAAAAACAGAACATATAACGGTTTTCTTTTCAATTCTACTTGTTCAAAATCTGATCATTAACACTCATAACATGTGTTATTGATAATTTTTCAACTTTTAATTATATAATATTTCTCATCCCACTTCTCTCATCTGACTAATGTCTCGCACCAATCTAGCTACGGCTTGGATATCCTCTATACCATGATAAAGATTGTCTGTCCTGACATTACATGACTATATAACTCTCAAAAATTCTCACTTTCAATATGATTCTTGCCTGCATTTACATTTTTATCACCCTTCATAAATGGGCAAAGAATTGAAGAATAACATGATAATAAGCTTGGAATTTTGAATTTTTCCCATTTGAATTATTTCTTATTTTAAGATTTGTGGGAAGTTGAAAAACCTTATCAATGGCATCAAGCAATATAAGATACCAAAATATTACAACTCAAGACCAACCGGTCCAATATTCCCTTAGCTGAGAGTTTGAAGTGAGTCACTTAATCTCTTAGTGGACTAGAGTACTGCATAAGAAGACTAATTCCAGAAAATCTAGACTCTTCCAAATGTTCCTTGAGTTTCTAAAATTCCTTCCCATATTTTCAGATACTCCCGTCAGGTATGGAATCTTGCGACGTCACCCATGATCTGATATGCAGTATCTTTAAAGCAACTCCCAACAAAAATTGGCGAGTTTTGGAAATTTTGGCAATCTTAGACCAGTACCACTTCCTGATGACTAAGAAAACATACGACAGCCCCAAACGTTGTTTCCAGGGCTATTCGCGAGTTTACACAGGCTTATTGTGGTTCTATATTTCATTTTTTTAAATCAGAAGCATTGAAACTCAATGTGTTACATAAGGTTACAATTATTTCAAAAGAAGATGAAAGAGCGAAGAGAAGGAGAAGGGCGATAAATGCAAACTTTGATATTGGACTTGTGTACATACGTAAACTGGAAATTAATCTTTCCGACTGTCCTTATGGATGGAATTCGTAGTTGGTTTACTATGTATGAAGAAAGACGGGTGATAATCAGGACAGAAAAGTCGTAACCTTTGCTTCATAAAGCTTGACAAAAAGTCCACAGATCGATATTTACTATTTTTTTAATATTGATTTAGGCGCCAATTTTTGGCTGAAATGAGAAAAAATACAATTCCTGCAAATACTGAAGCAAAGAATAAGTAATATTTACCGTCTGGGTGGCTTTTAAGGAATGGTTCAGCGAATGCTTTCCAGATCCAAAACCAAGACGATGCTACTGTACAGCCCAGGGTACCACCAACCAAGATTTGTGGTATAGTATGAAGTCCGTCGGCAACCCTGAGCCATGACTGCATAGGATACGAATATTGCAACTAACTAAATTCAGCTGTTGTAGTATCCAGATTAAAAAAATTTGCATCATTAAAAGTTTATTCTTAATTTCCCTATCTAAAATCCAAATTTTGTCATATTACACTTCGAGAGATGTTTGTTATGTGATTACTCTGGTACTTAATATAATTCAAACAATCACTCAAAAGCACTCAATGGACCATAATAATCTCAAATATATGCTAAGCAAGGATATTTCGGAGCGAAAGGAGTTTAAACTGCAAAATGCTTACCAAATACGCCGCTGTGAGAAGTACCGCACAAACGCTTGTGATGGTCCACACACTCAAGCTTTGCCAAGATAACACTATCAGCAGCCACATTCTGTGTTAATTGATACACAGTTTGCAACACGAATCCAAATTGTACAGTATTTTAGACTACTTTAGAATCTGTAAACTGTCAGGTATGAATGGCATGAATAACTGGAAGGAAGAAACTTAAAGAAGCAGAAATGTTACTTAGACTCACTTCGCAGAGGCCAGACATATAAATAAATTTCACACTGAACCTTGTATGTAGCAAATTTTGAAAAAGCAGAAACCATAAACTCATCTGCCAACTACATGGAAGGCATTCAAGCCATTTGTAATGATAATTCTTCGCATATAAACGCAAAATGACCTGAAAGTAAAAGCTCAGACAGAAGTAGCTTACATCCAAGACTAGCATATGTGCTCAGATATAAAAAACCCTGCGCATGAGATGATGGCATTCCTGGATCTGCCTTTCGTCCATCAGCACTGTCTGGTCTCTTGTCGTTGATCAAATGCTTCATTGCTTTTCCAATTCCGCCTGACAAAACCGCTCCTAACGACGCCCAGAGCGCGCTCTCGTCATGTCTCCATAAAACGACCCCTACTGTAGCTGAGGTCACTAGCCATTTGGACTGATTGAAAAGTGGTACGTCAGATGATCCGGCATAATGTCATCGTCCAGGTACGCCAGATTCTTTCACGTCTTGACTTGAGGAGACACGTGTATGACCACTTTCATAACAACTTAAAGAGAAAGTGGTTTCAGATGAAACTTCGGATATATTATAACTTCGGATAAATTTCAGCCCGAAGACGCTAGCTCTTACAGGCGAACCTTTCATTGAGTCTTCCATAACTTTTGTAGGTTCTAGATCGGTTCATATGAAAATGGAAGAGTTGCGTCGGAGGTGGCAAAGAAATGGGGACCAATCATATTTCAAATCACCTAGGAGAGCAATTCAGGTACAATAAAAATAAGATAAAATACTGAGAAGGTTTAAAGCTCTATGGTATAAATTGGCTCGAGGACTTGCTGTTTATGAAATGAGAACTTGAGTTACCTTCACGTTACTAAGTGTAGAAAGTGGTGACAGCGGGATTCAACACACAATCTGATGTGCAGCAAGAGAAATTTCTTACCGCTTTATTCAGACGAGTTTGAAAAGCAGAAATTCGCAGATTCGGCGCAGTAGAACCATCTCCCACGAGCTTTTCCAATTCTCGCACACTGGGTTGCAATTCCTTCGAATCGCTGGACATATCGCTTCGCGGTGTGGTCACTGCATTCCAAGAATTGCGTGAACATCTCCTGGAGAACCCCATGCTCCCACCCTCGGTTACTCTGATTCTGCCAATTCCCGCACCCGGCAACACCAATCTGCACACCGATATCATTCCGACAGCTCGCTCGCAGTCAATCAGACAATTAATCCACCCCACAGAGAAGACCTCCTTGCTCCGGACGATGCAAACTGACCCCACATCCCCCGCCCTGTGCATCCACGCAATCCTCCCGCTAAAAGCACGTCGAAAATGACCACAAATTTGCAAGAGCCGTGATCCATTATATAGTGCTTTCCTCTCCTCACCGACGGATCTCTACAATAGTCGCAATTCGTTCAATTACGTACAGAGAGTTGAAAAGTAGACTTCACTCGACGAAGTCGTAGACCGCGAGCATGAGTCACCCATCACCGGCTCGACAAGATCATCGCTACATTGGGAGGACGGCGCAAAGACCAGGGAGCTTCCGAGAGGAGAAAATCAGCGTTCTGTCCATGGAAGCGTTCGATAACAAGGATAATAAGCAGGAGATTATTGCAGTCTTACCTTCCTGATTAGGGTCTATCTACACGGTTGGCTCCTTGAGGCTGTCCAAGACACAATTTTTGAAACATCTCCAATTTACTAGACCCCAAATGCAGATGCTCGGCGGATTTGTGACATGGAAAGAAATCGAGTGGAAGGGAGTCAAATGTAGAAGAAAAACGATGGGAAGATCCCTCAAGCTGAACCAGTGGCTACGCAGAAATGTATATTCTTTAGAAATATGGATTCGAGCATGTCACATCTACTCTGGATTTTTTCAGATCTAGTTCTATCTTCTTTATCTTCACAAAATGATTATTTGAACAACAACATTACGTATTACATACTATACGTATACTGCGGTTACGGATACTTCGGTTCACATTCTGAAACAAATTCTATTTTCTTTACTTCAAAAAATGATTATTTGAACAACAACATTACGTATTACAAACTATAAGTATACTTCGGTTACGTATACTTAGGTTCAAATTCTGAAACAAATTATAAGATAGGAAAGGATTTTGAATACACATATTTTCAACGCAATTAAATTAGAGTATTGACATACTTATTCTTTATTTATCCACATAATAACTTTCTACTTGGATGAATCATGTAAATGATTCTGTTGATGACTTTGGGATTCAACATTCATGAGAGGATTGAACTGATGTTCAATTTTTATTGATTTGAATATCGAATATAAAAAAATAATACGCTTGCATGCATGATTTACGACCTTGTTACTTGTATGTCTAAGTGAAACTTTAACAGATGAAATTACACTCTTTGTTATAAAAGATACACATTGAACTACAACACCTTTGCATCAAATCATGTTATACAAGTAAAGCTTAATAAAGCTTACATGCATTGACTGTATTCAAAATGCTTCTCAGTATTTATTTCTTTGCAGCCAAGTTCACTCAAGCTCATTTTCTATGTTAAATCTAATTAATGAATATTTGAATACATCTTGTGATGTTTTCAAGAAACCAAACAGTAGTATCTTCTGCAAATATTGTACTTATACATTTGACCTAATGTGGTGATACATTGAATCCACACTGATGATTGCTGGAAAAATGTGACAAAATTTAGAAAATATTTTAATATTTTAAATAAATGGTACTGCACATTGTATTAAAATAAAATTGAAAAGGTATTTTTATGAAAAACTGATTTGATATTTTACTCGTGTTGATATTGACATTTTTTTATACTACGTGTGTAGCATCATGATCTTGTAAACATTATCTATATGGTTGTATGATTTGAAAATAAATAAAGTAAAAATTTAAACTTTAAAAACAGATCTGTGAAATTTAAAGTTAGAAATTGGAAAAAAAAATTAATTAAAGTTTCATTGAAATCATATATATCATTTTTTCACAAAAACATATAATATATGACATATTTTTAAAATCAAAATATATATTTCTTAAATTTTTAAAAAATTTGTAAAGTTATTTTTTTTTCAGTTTTTCACCATCAAATCGTCTTTTGTTGACCTCAAAGGCAGAAATGCATTTGCAGAAGCTGTTGAATTTTAATATATGTATTCATAATTCAAATGCAAAGTCAAACAATCATAAAGTCATTATTTAAAATCATAATGCACATAAAAAATGCACATATATATTATATGTGTGATAAAGTTTTTACTTGAAAATTTAAAAGAAAAAACATATTAGGTTAAATTTTGTATGAAAATGTGGACCTGGAATATAAATTTTGTTAAAAAAACAAAAAGAATTAAAATCTATTAAGAATAAATGTAGATCTTGATTAAAAATGTATGATTTAACTAGACTTAGGCATATATTATATACAAAGATGTATAAAAAGTTTAAAATCTTTTATGAAAATATTGAGAATTCTAAATAAAAGATGTGTTTTTATTTTAAACATTTTTTTAAAGCACAAGACTTTTGTGTCAACTCTAAACTAGTTGCTTGTCATTTTAAAAATATTATTGAGATTGAATCTCGTAATATTACTTAGTTCAAATTAAAATGAAAAAATGAATTTTTTAATCTTAAAAAAATCATTGAAAAGTTTACTTATTATATGGAATCACTGTATTTAAAGTTTATATGTTATTTAGTAAGACAAATGAAATTTGAATGCAACTTTAAAATATTTGTCTAAACCTTATAATCTATGATTATTTTATTTATTTATATATCCATGCATGATGATTTTTCCAACATTTTTTCAATAAATTTTTCAAAAAAATTTCAACTTTGAAGTACATCTCCATGCAAGATTCTTTGTTAATGAAGACTACCCTACAAGTTTATCACTTTTTGCTAGACCAGTAACAACCAATCATGAGACTTAGCACAACCATACTCTTGTGTAGGCAAGGGAAATTGTGAGAAAAGAATACCAACAAGAATACACCACAATGTCTGCAAGAAATTAAAATTTTTTTGTGTAATTGAATAACGTATTTTATGACTTTTAAAAGGTAAAAAATTGATTTGATAAGATCCATATATGTCAAGATTCAAACGTAGTTGGATCTGAAAGAAAAAATCACAAGAAAAAAAGAAACAAAATGCATGATTGATCGAAAAGTGAAGAATATAGTATTTCCTTTGAAGTACAAGATTCAACTTGACTTGGAAAAGTTTCTTTGATTTTGTAATTAAGTTGATTTTGAACAAGAAGATGAATGGGTAAAAAAGAGTAAAATTTTATTTTGGAAGCTAACAAGTTTAAAATATTGGTGATTTATTTCAAATGAACATACAATATTACATATTTTGTACGTTGCAGAATTCAAAACTTGGCAATAGTATGAAAAGGTGTGAATGACTGAAAAAGAAGAATTTTTCAATCCAACGATACAAAGTACAAATTCAAACATTTGGCACAACATTTGGCGGTTATCACATCTAATGAAGCATGATATCACATTGTCAAATACAGCGGACATAGTAACACTATCTTTTGGAAGAAACAAGTCAAAGGCGAGCTAAAAGCCATGGATCTAGTCATGATGTTGATATGATAATATGATATGAGAATATCATAATAATTAGGTTATGGAGGTTATTGTTACTTCAACATGAATTTTGGAAGAGATTGTTATAATAAACTCACGATCAAAATGTTGTAGATTGTATTGATGAAAAATTTGTGTTAGAATTCTTGTTATTGTTACTTCAACATGAATTTTGGAAGAGATTGTTATAATAAACTCACGACCAAAATGTTGTAGATTGTATTGATGAAAAATTTGTGTTAGAATTCTTGTATGTGTGATGTTGTTTACTTAGTACGGCAAGACCTAGCTCTTATACTCAAACAATATATCAGCTTGTGAATGTTCTTGTTTAATAAATCATATTATTATATTGCTATTTGTTGTTTTTTTTGTGTTTTTGAATCTTATAGATTGATATTAGATTGAATGTTAAAATGAAGATCTAACATTACATTTGTAGTTTTTTTTGTGTTTTTTTCTTGTTAGAAAAAGATCAATTAGCAGTTTAGATAAATTTATATTGTGAGCTAAAATATCCATATTTTTTACTAGATACTCTTCATCATAATCATATTCATTAAAACTCGACTTGATGAAGATAACAAGGAGCTCATGACACTATGCTTCAAGATTATGAACTTGTAATTTGAATTTTATTTTTCATATCAACACAAAATTTACAAACAGATTTGATAATGCATGCTATTCATATTATATATGTTAAAATTATTATTTTTACTATTATTATTTTTTGTTAAATATATATATGTTTAAATTTTGAGTTTAAATTGGTTTCATCAAATTGATGTTTTTGAAAATAGAATATTCATTGTTTGAAAATTTTAGTCACCCATTGATGTTTGTCACATATAATTTTGAATAATTTAATAAATCATATATAATATAAATATTTTTTCAACATAAAATAGTTGATAAAAAAGTGTACACTTTTATTTTTTTAAATTATTCGATTTATATGTATCTAAGTTTTAATACTATAAATATGTAAAATATTCAATTGTATTTTTTTCAAAAATATTTATTTCTAAATTATCATAATACGATTAAGTAATTTGTTAACATTATGTTCTACCAAAAGAAATCAAAAGCAATATCATCAATAATAAATACAAAATTAATTATAGATTATAAACTTTACTTCTTCTTTATTAAAAGTCATAAAAGATATGGCTCATAAAGTATATTACAAGCTTTTGTTAATAAAGTTTTGCATAAAATTTTAAGATATGTGTCATTGTTGAGATGTGTAAAGTTCATACTGAGACTTTAATTGATAAAGTTAAATTGCTTAAGATCAAACAATCGTAACGAAAAAAAATATAGATTGAGATTAGTACCAAAAAAATATTTATATTTGAAACTCTATGAATGATTTGAAGCAAATATGCTGGAGTATTAATTGCAATGTTTAAAATAAAAATTGCAAGGCTATAAATAAAAAATTAAATTCTTCATATCATCACAAGATTCAATTTTGGAATAATTTCTTTCGGCATGAACATTTTTATGATGATGCGGTAAAATATGTTCTATCTTTGACAACAATATTTATATCATAATCGTCATGAATAAAGCTATCAAATTCGTGTTAATTTTCAAAATTGATATTGAAAATTTATGAAGTATAATTCAGTATATATTGAATTTTTATAAATGCTAAATTTTTAAAAATGAAATAAATTCTAAATAAATTCTAAAGTTGAATGATTTCTTATACTTGGAACTGATAACATGAGTTGAAATCATGTATAGCAAAAGAGTGTATTTTTACTCTAATATTCAGTATGCAAAAACAATTAAAATATTAATCTTTTATTTGTACAAGTGTGTTAGATATAATATATTAACATCGAATAATATAAATCTTCATTATAGTTTTTGAAGTAAAAAAAACACATTGACATATATAATATCTTATAATATTGGTTGTATTTATGGAGTGATTGCACTAATCATGATAAACAATCAATAGTTCATTTTTATAGTTTTATCAAATGATTTTTTCATAGATTTTTTCAACATATCATGTTGTCACAATCCTTATGTTGCATGAAAATATAAGTAGAATTTAATAACAATTATTTTATCTTTTTAATTGATATTGATTAATTTGGTTTATACTAAAATTTAATTTTGCCTAATTTTAGTTTACAAAGTATATCAACCTTATTTGTTATGTTTTTTTGTGGTATAATCATATAGATTAGTCTACAAAAAGATTGGAGATTTTAGTCACCAAGATATGAATCAAAGGAAAAACGTTAGCTTTTAATTCAAATCTTGTTAAATTCTTTTCAATTTGATCATCGATTAGCTAGATCAGATTACCTAATGCTAAATAAAAATTCTGGCAGAAAATCTCTGTCGATCAAATTATTATTTTTTGTTGAAGAGCTATGTGTATATGTGTATGTTGAGTGATAAGCCTCACTAACTTGAATCATATATAATATTTCATGTTTTGATTCTGTTATGAATGCTTCTGCTGCAAATTCAAATAAGAATAGGATATTTCAGATATGGCGGTGACAAACAATACTAGCTTTCATCAGATTAGCATGACAATCTAGCTAAAAATCAGTCAAGACCTAATTTTATATCCAATGTTATCTACCTGTTTGTTCATGTGAAAGCTACATTATCAAACTATACAACAATCACAACCATGTTTAGATTACTTCAATTATTAGTAGACAAGTATGCATTGCTCAAAAGAGACTAATGGGGTTTGAGATTGATACGAGAGTATCAAGATAGAGATTGATTTTTAGTATCTCAGGTAATATGTTAATTAATTGATCTAGATTGTTAAAATATTCCATGATGATGTTATTGGAACCAGTCTCATCTCACTACTTTGAGTTCATCCATGGAAGTGTATGATCTTAGATTCATTTTTACTTTATGTGTTACTTCTTCTGTTAAGTAGCTATGGTCCAATCTAACTAGTGGGCTGACTAAAATGTTTCTTGATTTGATAGAAAATCAAGTACATTATTTGTGAGAATCTGATGAATCCAAACCTGCTACTCACAAAGCTTTATGAATAGTTATGAAAATAAAGTACATTATTTGTGAGAATATGATGAGCCCAATCCTTTCACTCTTGAAGCTTTAGGAACATATGTGAGCATGACTTAAGTCTGTCGAGATCAGATCTTGGAGTCATGAAGATGCCAAATATTGAAATAGATATCATATATCAGATATTTAAGGAAGCGTGTACTTTAACTATTTCACTGGCCCTTATAACTGAGTCTTTTATTTAAGAAGATTCTTTTCCACGTGAAACATGGAAAAGAATTTGAAGCTCATGAACCATTCACGTGAGATTCAGTTGAATGAGACCAGGAACGTACTTGTCTGAGACGAAACCTTGAAGAAGCGAGTTGAACGGCGACCAATTGCCGCTGATATTATTACAATTTGGTAGCAAAGAATCAAAATAATTGCAAGCATGTAACAAGAGTGCATCATATAAAATGAGCACCTCAGAAACATGTGGTCACCCTCCATTAAGCCATCTCTCTTCTTTCATGCATGCGAAATAATTCAATGGAACTTTAGAATAGACTAATCTTGTGTTGCGTACCGACGTGACTTTTCTTCATTTTGATTGACATCGACATGGCTTCACGCTCACAAGCTTTTGGCACCAATAGTTGGTAACCTTGACCAAAGAATGGAGAAGACCTTGACGACGATATACAAGCTTCGTGTATATTTTTGTTATGATTCACGGCCATTCGATATATATTTTTCAAATTAGAGTTTCCAGAATTGAGATATTTCTTCGGAGTGCCCAACTTAGGCCGCATACTGTACACGTTTATGTTTTTATTTTCGTTCGCGGAACGACATAGCGTCAGAGCTTTATCAAAGGACCAGAGCCGCTACTGTCTCCAAAATAGATCTAGTATCTCTGGATTCAAAGGATACAATTTTTAACTCTCATAAATCTAAAAGTAGAGACTGTTCTACATGAATCCTTTCTTCTTTTCCGGTAGTTTGGGAAGAGGAGCTTCGTGTCTGAAACATTGCTGGCGCAGATACTCGAGTTTCTCTTCATATGTTTTGTACAGTGGTTGAGCAACCTTGGCTCGTATGAACACCTGCTGCATGTAGGTGCGAAGGAACGAATGCTCGGAAACTCGCATCAGAGGAGTCCGTTTGTAGATGCAATGTGATGCCGCCAGCAGAAACTGCGAACATACGAGGATCCAACTTAGGCTCCAGCTCGTTATAGCGAAAACATACAAACAATTTCAGCCAGAATGTACACCTGCACATGATTGATCCTCTTCTTAAATTGATTAGTAACTATGTCGAAACGAATCCATTTTTCGTGGCCATTGTTTTCATGATCGAAAAATGTGAGTTTTCAGTTACAGGGAGTGTCTCACTCACCCTTTGGATTTCTGAGTAGCCAAATCGCAGAGTCGCAGTTTTAACAGAGAATTCGAAAATATCCTGAGAACAAAGTATGGAATTAACAAGGGCCAATAAATATCAGCCAATGGAGAATTGAAGAAGATTTGAAGAGCTGCATGTTTTAGTGCTTGTCTTGCAGAAACAAGGTTGTGGTTGTTTGAGGTGTGTAATACAGTAGACTTTATCTATGGTTTACAGTTTGGAGCCTTGATGGACTTTTTACTGCCCTTCATCTACTTTGGTTCAAGTAGAAAATGATGATATGTGTGAGATCAAGCTTGGAGTTACATAGTTGTCGAGGCTTTCTAAATTACTACAGAAAACAAACAAAGACGAGAGGTATTAAATGCACTGACAGCAGCGAAATGACGAGCAAAATTTCGTTGATTCTTCGAGGTGAAAGTTTAAGTCCGTTGGGACCCGTGGCAATCACAGTCTCCTGAAGGGTAAGTACTTACCGTTGGAGTTTGGAGGGCGTAAATAAGAACTCCTGCTGCCAAAGAGTCATCCCAGCGTTCACCAAGAGCGAGCCATTTCTGAGACGAGTGACACGCATTTGAAGTGAATGTTGCAATAGGGAACTTTCATAAAATCTTAGCAGGTTTAATTTTTATTGGTTATGGACTCTTTCATTCTTGCCTACTATCTGACTGAGAACAGGATTGACTCGAAGCTCTTCACCTTAAAGTGAGGCATAATTATCTTCACATCCACTTCCAAATCCACTTGAGCCCAAGCGTTTGCGAAGACAATCGGTTGTGGTTCCTCTTTATCCTTGGATACTTTCTTCTTAGCTTCCTCTTCTTCTGCTTTCGCAATTGCCTCCTCTACGGCAGCAGCTTTTAATTCTGGAGTGCTTAGATCTGGGACACCAGGGGAGGGGGCATTCGGATCTAGATTCGCAGGCTCAGGCTTTCCCTCCAAATACTCTGGAATCGCTACCCTAAGAGCGGCTTTTGCAGTTTCTTCACGATCTTTGATAGCATCCTGAAAAAACCAGTATCAAAACTAACGTACACATTCACTGCGGCAGCCAGTTTCGGGAGATTTCAATCCTCTGGTTGAGAAAATTTGTCTGAGATATAATGAATGCAATCTGATCAAAGATGTCTGAGCTCAAGGATTGAGCTGAACTGGATGGATAGGAGATTTTGATCAATCAAATGTTTCAGCAGTTTAATCACTTCGCCAAAGTATGTTCGTCACTCATTATCGGACTTTCTTCTAGTCAAATTATATGATCATCTTGACAACATTGAGCTATAAAAATATACGCATGAAATCTGATAAGCTCGTCTCCCATCGTTTATGAACACTTTCAAAGGTGAGGTGAATATAGGCATTTAAATGACAAAATGAGCTGTTACCGCTGTCTCAGGTGTTTCAGCCGAATGTAGATCTTCCAACGTGCTTTTAACTTCGATTGCAAAGTTGGGCAGAAAGTCATCTACAATAAAGTGATAAATCTGGTATGAAAGAAGAGCACAAAATGAGGATGAAAATGTACAAGTAATTCAGTTGGTTACATACCTTCATTCGAAAGATAGTCATGTGCACCAGTAAATTCTCTCTTAAGGGCCTTACCATACCTTCAACAGTGTCTTACATGCTTTTCACTTGATCTCATTGTCTGAATGAATATGCAAGGACTTTGATCGAGAAACTCTTTTGAAACATGGAGTTCACCTGTCTATTCAAATTTACGGCATGCAATATATCTAGCTCTTACCTTTCAAAGTGTTTTCGAAAACTAGTGCACAAGATTAGGATTTCTCAGTGCCAATTAAGGATAGACCATATTCGTAAGTATTTTCATCCTCACTTGTCAACCTCACTCCTAATGTACATAATTGCCTCGATACCTCTTAAGACAGATTTGGTTCGACTGACGGCTTGTCCCGATTGAACTTACCGATAACCGAGAAGTGAAGCAAAGATGAACTGAGAGATATGATGTGCATAGCATAGTAGTTGATAGCTGTGTTCGAACTTCAATTTTTTGAAATCTTTGAAATTCTAATGGGAACTTTTGTCCAATCCGTTTCACAAGTTTATTTCTTTCCTATACTGCTATGACCTAAAACAATGTGAAATGAGTTGACCGAAGTTTTCCAATTAAGTTTTAAAAATTATATTTTCCGACGAGTTCCAGGTTCGAGCCCCGGGCAACCCATTTTTTTGATTTTTATGAAATTTCTTTCTTCTCTAAAAAATATTAGAATATTAGTTGACATAATCATATATGCTCATAATGTTCATCACAGTTCAATCTTTTCCTTCCTTTTGGTGACAAAACTTCCAGAATCAAGAACATTCGGAGGCTCCATATAACAACTTGCGAGGTATTAGGTGATCTTCCTTGTGGAAAAAACTAGTGTGAACAGATTAAGCGTACACTTCAAATCTCCAGCTTACCTTCTCATGATAAGGAACTTCTGGTCCGAGCTCTTGATACATGTCTACAATCAACCAAGAAATAGGGTTAATCTTGCTAATTTGAAATCCAAAGATGCTAAACATTCTTCTAATTTCGACACGGGCAATTCCTCCATAATTTAAAGATTTTTTTTATATGTTTTTGTACATACATTACAGTCACGTAATTTTTTCTCTTCTTCAAAAACCTTAGAATATTTTTTTGGTTTTGCAAACCAATACGAGCGGTGATTTTTTATTATACCAAGTCTTAAACCAAGTGGATTAATTTTTTGGACAATATACATGAAACTGGAGTTACACCGACGCTTTAAACGACATCAAAATGCGTGAACAAGTTGTTACAAGGTTACCAGAAGCCAGATGTAGCAACATTGGGAAGAATCCCCAGCTTGAAAGTTGAAATGCGCCGGGAACTTTGTTGATAGGTACATATTTATTGAAGTACTCTTTCAATTTATTTTCTGCACCCATATCGATAAAAAGCATTATAGCTCCCAACCTTCAGTGGCTCTGCATCGACTCTAGACGATCAGTTTTCTTTGACGGACATACACATCCTGCATTGCGTAAAAGAATCGCTTCTATGCTAACTTGCTATAAGGTAGAATCTTGCCTGTGAAAGGGTATGGACACAACTTCATAACACGAAATAATTTCTGAAATTGCTCCTGTGATCCCCAAAATTTTGATAATTTTGTGAGAATTGTGGATGTGGTGGCGACGATGGTACTTCTAGATTATATAACTCCTACTCACAAGAAAATGATCCTATAAGTAGCTTATGTGTGTAAATTCTTCGAAGAAAAGTATATTCCTGGAGTAACAACTCAATATCTTGAAGGCTTCTTTTGTTAAGGATATGCAATGTTCGGACCCTCAACTCACAAGAGTCAATAAACCGAAATCCTTGTCCTCTAGTTCTTTTCCTTGTCCACTAAACCACAGGATCATGGCTTGCATCGCGCCTGCCAAAAATGAATAGAATAATTTCAGACGTCTAATTTGCAATACTTCTGCACCAGAAGGTTTCACCTAAAACATATATATGGCTGACCGGACGTGGCAAACATACTCCCACTAGCCATGAGTTTTTTTCATCAGAGGGAACTCTGGTTTTGGACGAAGTGCTGACAGTTTGTATTTTTAGGAATCCGAGGCCCATGACTTCAAGGATCTGATCAATTCGTTTGAGATAAAAGATGTCAAATTGTGAAATAGCTTTGTAAAGACAACAATGAATATTCAGACAGTCACCACTATATGCCCTCATGATCTCTTGCACAACCATGAATTCAGTGTTTCGAGCAGCCTCATCTAGATGTGGCATAACTCTCAATAGCGTAGCCGGTATGTCGTAGGCAGACCAGTCTGCATGCAGAAAAGAGATAGATAAATGTACACATCTTTTGGAACACAATCAAAACTTCATATTGAAGAATCCTGTTTTCAACTTCTCATTTCACAGCCCGAGATTACTACCATCTGGTAAAAAAGCAGGCCAAGGATGCTGTACCAAGAAATGTTATTATATCAACAGGCGTTTGAACCTCCGCGTCCAAAAATTGAGGAGGTGGTGGTTCAAGAGGAGCATCAGGATTATCGGGATCTGGAGCAGGAGGTGGAGGAGTCTCTTCTACTCCTTTCTTTTTCTTCTGTAAATATCAAGTGGTTGATCAGATAAGCTACGGGCTGGATCACAGGAAATTGTCCACTACAGGAGAAACAGATGTTAGACTCTCCAAACAAGATAAAGATATCTCTTCCAAGCTGTTGGAAGAACTTGAGAACTAAATTTTGAAGCATCGACTTAGAAGCAGTACCTTCTTCTTTGGTGGCGGTGGCTTAGGCGGTGGCACGTCAGCTACAACTGGCTCCTCTACACTCACCAGTGATCAAGTTGTAAAGATTCAGTCGCCCACCTAGACTAGATGGGCTCTCCGGGATTGCCCCACATGTAGTGTGCTTACTCAATCACACTTCAACAATTTAATCTTTTAAAAATTACAAGAAGTCATGAAAAAAATTATAAGCACTTGCTTCACAAAAATAAACCATAAGTAAATGAGTCCAGGTTTTGCCTGGAGTTAATGCAATGTAATTATCATGAGTAGCACTATGAATAAATTCTTTGCAGAAATAGTCCGTCTTGCCTAGTAAGAAGGACTTACTAGGCAAGCTTTCGAAAAACTGCTGTATGAGCTCGTTCGTAGTTGGAGGTGGCGGTTGCCCTAACCACGGTTCTCTGAATGTACTGGGACCACCTGTTGTCAGTCTCAACAATGAGCTACAGAAAGAACTACCGTGGAGAGAGAAGGTAGTCAGTGAATCATCTCTGGTGTGTCACACTAAAGTTATTAGTTGTGAAGCCTTTAGATAATATATCAGAATACACTTACTTGAGTAATCGATAGTGACCTTCGCTCCATTTGCAAGAATCTCCCTTATGGGCTTGTCAGGATTAAGCACAAGACCATCCTGTGGTATTCAAAGGCTAATTCAGCAGTGTATTCTTCATTATGTCAAAACATGACTTCAATAAATATCCATTCAAGGACGTAGAACATCTGGATGTTTGTAACCTCCTAAGAGCTCCTTCACCAGGATTCACAAATAGTGAAGTCGCAGCTAATGAATAAAGTGCAAGACTGCGGTAAGCGATAGTATTCGGCACTGACTTCAGAAGCCTGCCACAAGATTACTAAGAATATCTGGTTCCAATTCTTCCGTGTTGTTTGTTTAGTGTTACCGTTTGAACACTTCTAGTCATAAAAACAAGAGGCTACTTGAGCGTCTAATGATCTAGAGATTGGATAGCCACTGAGTACCATACTAGAAGTGTACCGCAGTTTTAATGGCCAGTGGGAGGAACTTGCTTGGTGCTTCATCTGTACGTTTTAAAAAGATACTGCTGGTGAGTATTGGGCTCTTTGCTCAACAATCTAAAGAAGTTCACTACAGCATATCAGAGCCAACTTTCTGAACACCATAGCAACTATTTTTCTGGCCTTACAAGTATCACAAAGTACAGCAAAAAACTTGTCGATTAAAGTTTCTGCGATGTGTAGTTGATGCAGCATGAAGTTGATTGTAGCAGCTCTTCCTTTAAGGCTACATATCAAGCTCCATGTTCTAGACACCCTATTTCATTACTCTTAAAGCGTCGATCGTCAGCTTTGGACCTACGGTTCACTTGATACTGTTGACAAAAAGTTTTTCCTGAATTCTTTCAGTCAGTTTCTAAGACAGTAGAAGAAAATTAACAAAGCTGAAAGTTATAACCCTTGCCCCGGTTGATAAGCATACCTTTCAGAAAAGCAACTCTGATGCAGGCAGACTGTCCAAGCCATCGCAAAGGTTGATGACCAAAACCACAAGGCAAGATGATAGTATCTTTCCTGATGTCCCACTTGTCGATTGTTTCCACGAGTTCTGCCTGCATCAAAATGTATTAAACAGAAGCACAGAATATCTGCGGAAGATGCATCAACTTACGAGGGAGAGAAATTCACATACCTCAACGAACATGTTAATCTTTAAATCTCCATGGCTGTGGCAGTCGGGCAATCCCCTGCTTTCTATCTGGTTCATCTCTAGACACTTCAAGATTTTATCTGACAGCTGTGGTTTTGGACGTGGTTGAGAACTTCCAGGCCCGGACACCCATCCATGTTCTGTGCAATAATCAGGTTTGGGACTAGGAATATCGCCGTACTTCAACACGCAGTAGTCAGGATCGCCAGGCTTTGGAATCAGCAGTTTCGCTAGCTCTTTCTCTTTCTGTAGGTCTCTTTCTTTTGGAGGCTTACCAGAAGCCCAGAACACCTCTGTGTGAATTTCTTTGTGCTTTCTTTCTTTCTCTAGAGCTGGTGACATATATGTCCACTTCACAACCTCAAAAGGATTGTCCATCCCAGTCAATGGCTTGAGGTCTGAAGCCATACCCATCCCGTCTATAGGTTTCATTTCGGGATTCACTGATTCCCCACCTGTTGCTCCTTCTAGAGCCTTTGTTTCAGCGCCCGAAGTTTCACCAGGAGTATTATGATTAGGAAAACTCGCTGGTGCAGGACCTGATTGTGTCGGGGAAGGTTTAGTATCCGTGGGCTTTGGATCTGGGGGCTTTGCCTCTTTAACAACAGGAAGGTCCTTCTTGGGTGGGTTCTCTTTTGGAGGCATCTTGCTTAATAACTAAACTGAAAGCTACCTGTCAGCATTTGAGTTACTCATCAACTATACTTTCTGGCAGCTCGGGCATCATTCGTCAGACAAATCTGTTATCCAATACCTCATTCTTGATCTTACTTTTGACCAAAATCAAAACCCGCACCGCGGTCTGAACAATCTGAAGAGGACTCCTCCTGGATAGATTGTTGGACCGCAGCAATTTTAAGAAAGTACCAAATGCTAGGGCTCCAGGAGTTCGTCCGTCAACTACACAGTAGAAAGACTTCAATGCATCTTCCCTTGAAAAGTTCTGGACAGTAGCCTTGAATATGACCACAATAATTGTCAGTGGAAACTCCGAGAGTCACTTCATAGAGTCAATTATGAAATCGTCCGAAAGTGCACCAAAACTCCCCATTCACTTGAAAATTCGAGAGCCAAAGTGGATTCAAAACGCTCATTAGCTTCCTAGATCAGCAGCCTGATCAAGCGCGTTCAGAGGCTCTGTGACACACACAGCCTCACATGTACTGGACGCGTTCAGCTCTGCTTGCTGCAGTTCTTGACCTCCCAAACGTCCAAACGGAAGCGAAAGCCGCTGTCTCAGATAAAGAACCCCATAACTTCCGGACGGACAGGAATGTCGCTGCTTTACATACTGATCTCCATAACTTCCAGGCAGGCCCCCACGCACCTTACGCAAAGACGGCAAACCACGAGCCCCATCTCGATTCGCATCCACATGCTTCTGAAACTGATGCTCATAACTTCCAGAAGAACTTGACTCCCTTCTCTTCAGGAACCGATCTCCATAACCTCCCAAAAAGCCCGCAGCCTGCAACTTGTTAAACCGATCCCCAGCGAATTCCGCTTCCGTCGGAAGACCCATGCTTCCCAAACCAAACCCCGCTCCTTCGGCCTCACACCTCCGCCATGAAATTCCCCATCTTCAAAGCTTGCGCGCGAATTCCAATTCTCCCGAATCATCGGGAGCACAGTCAACCGAAATCCGAATTCCCGTAGACCTCACTCTACAGCGTCGTGACCCTCAACCCGACCGGACAACAGACGAGGCGGGACGGGCGGCCTCGTCCTCTTCTCTTTTCCCAGTAGGCCAGGGGCAGACAGGCGCTAGAATGGCGGTCGCGTGAGCGAGAAGTTCATGCGACCGCTGTTGGACAAGGCAGAGCAGGCGACCGGTTAAGTTAGAGGAGCGCTGGAAGAGGACTTTCGGCCGCCATTACTGTACCATCCGCCAACCGCCCTCGGAGAGAGACAGACAGAGACAGAGAGAGAGAGAGAGAGAGAGGGAGCTTCGACCAGAAGGGCGAGCGTTGCTCCGCTCATCTGTCCATCTGCCGAGCGCGATCAGTTCGGGGACTCCGACCAGACCCGCTGCCACGACAGGATTAGAGCTTCGACCTCGTCTCTGGCCTTTGCCCGAGGGCATTTCGATTTTTCGGAACGGGAATTGGGGTCGCAGAAATTGGTCGCGAGAGGGAGGACGGAGAGGTAGGACGACATACAAGCTTCGGCTGGAGTGACGCGGCTTCTTTGCTCAGCTGTCGGTGGTTGCAATCGATCGTTGGCCATCATGGTAGGAGGGTTCCTTCTCTGGCTGGGTGATGATGGCTGATATCTGGCTTCGTGCGCGATCGACTGTTTTTTTTGGTTAGTGCTGATGGGTGGTCGTTGTGGTTTCGGGATACCTGCAGTCAGCCCTCTTCAATTTTCAGTCGTTTCTCACGGTGGTGCTTCTCGTCATCTGCACATGCACGTACATCAAGATCCACTTTCCAAAAGTTTTGGAAAAGAAAACTGGGTGGGGTTTCTGCGCCTGGATTTTGTGTCTTTTTTTGAGTCGAGATTTGCGATCTGTTGATGCCGACAATTCGGAAGGGCTTCTGCGTTCGATCCTCTCGCGACTTGAGGCGCTCTATTATTGTTTTTTTCTTTCCATTTACTGTTTTTGTTTGATGTCTTCTGTTTCCGAGGGCTTGAAATTTTGATAGCTCACTGTTTCGTGCCGCGTTATGTGTGGCAGGTTCCGTGGATTTTTCTGGAAAGCTGCCAGGATTGGTATTCTCTTGACCTAGACTACAGTTCAATAAATCGATTGCTAGAACTACTCGCTCTGTTTTGATTTTGTTCATTCAAGCTTGAAGGTTATCTTGGGCAAGTAGTTTGAAGTGAGTCTCAGTAATCAGCTCAGGGAAATAGTAATGTCCAAAGAGGAATGGTGGTCCAAGGGATGGTTGAGTTTGTTAACACAATTTGTACTTTCTTCTGGTTTCGTCGATCAGGTGAGCGATTGAGCCCCTGGGTGGCAGGGTGTTGTCTCATAATGGGTCTTTCCATATTGTTCTTCTGAGTCACTCTACCCTCCAAACCTTTGAGCTATACTTTTTGACATATGACGTCAGTCGGGGCCTGAATCGGAGTGACTTGAAAAGCAACGGTGAAGAAACTAGGTTTGGAAACGGTTATTCTATCGAGGGAGGGGTATGTGCAGAAAGTCTTCTACGGAAACACCTCATTGATTGGTGAGATACTTGGGCCTTCATGTACGCAGGTGCCTTCGGTGTTGTCAGAGTAGCTTACTACACCCTTTAACTCATGAGCCTGTCTGGATAGACGTCAAATGTGCATACATTGATTTTGTGGGTCTGCAAATGCTCTATCGTGAGGTCTTCCAAAGTTTTGTGAGATTTTGTGTTCATTAAACTTTCCACTGAAGATTAGTGACTGGCTTTTTTGCTGATCTGCAGCAAGTTCATATCTGTATATACTTTCGTATACACATTTTTCGAATGCACCGTTCCATTTCAAATGAGCGCTTTTCTAAAGTTCAGATTGATTGGTCATCAGTGCCTTTCCAAGTCTTGAGGCATTGAATGCATTTGACTAGTCAAGACATGTTGACTTCATTGACTACGATTTCAGAGTCCAAATCATCTGTTTTTTTGCTATCAAAGTACGGTTTCGTTTTTAGGCGCAACTGTGTTTCCTGACCAAACGTTGTCAGCTTGATAACTTGCAATCACCTGACTGCCCTTGAATTGGTAATATGAGGTGCTGGGTTTCTTACTGCTTGTGAATTATGTTAAATTGTGCACCTACCCATGGCTTCGCTTCTGCCCCTAATCTATCACATTCAAGAGTATCCTTTCAATCGATGAACATGAACCCTTTCTGATGAGCTGTTTTTAACTCAATAATTATTTACCATACATTTACCGTCACATAATGGCTCCTTTGGTCAAATTCAAGGACTATTGATTTTGCGTCTCTCAGAAAATTTATGCTCATAAATCGCATGTGTATATTGCTTGCTGCTGAAAAAGCTGCCGGCGTTTTCTTCCTTTCAGACATCGTCGCGTCTCAACATTGCTCCAGGTGACTTTGGCTGCAATTTGCGTCAATCTGTACATTTTTATACAATCAGTTCCTTGCGTGTCATATCTGTAGCTCTGCTCTCATCGAATGATTTTAGAAATATTTCGTTACAAACGCAATCAAGATGTAACAAGTTCGAACTTATGTCATGAACTCGAATTTCAACTCATCTCAAGTATGATTGTACTTATACTGTATCTCATCGAGTTGAGATGAAATTTAAATTGCTGCCTTCAATCGGTTTCGGCCAGGGTGATCTGTATGTGACTTTCACTTTTTTTAAAACGTGGTGTGTGTCGGAAACACTTCAAAATGGTCACACTATAAGTCTGAAAATTATGGACGTTGTGGGTTTAGAGGGTCTATGAAATGCTCCTCCAGACGCCGGGGAAATGAGAAAAAATAGCATTCGGTGTTATGAGAGTAATCATCTACAAAGAGCAAAAACCTTTGAATTTCAGAGTTTCTTCCTGTTCAAAATAGTGAACAATTCGAAGGTTGATGATTATCCACATGTGTCTAAGTCAGTTAACTATGCTCACAAGTCATAACCACCCGGTTGACTCTCAGGTTCATTGTTCCAGGTTGCATTCACGCCATTTCTAGCGAGCATGCGACTTGAATATACTATAAGCTGATCATTCCACTTGGGCCGGCACTGTGTATTATCCGAACTAATTAAGCTAACAATATGAAACACACGTAAATAACTGTAGTTACAAAAATATAAGCCCGGAACTTGTTTGAGGCCTTTTCTTTGTTTGCTTTCAGAGATAGCAGAATATTCTAAAAGCTGCAAAGATCCAGACATCTCAATATTGTGCTCTGTAAAACTTGGGTTCCATTATCTGTCAGCAAAACTTCCAACCTTGGAGGAAGAAACTGATCTTCCGCGGCTTTCGGCTGAGATAACTCATAACCACAAGAATCAATCAAGAGAAGTGATCGGGAATCCAACTCAGTTATCCAAAAGTTATCCAAAAGTTGAGGAGCGGAAAGCATAATACCCAAACGTAACTTCATGCCCAAGAGCAAGCTCTTAACAATTTGACTGGCTCGTCTTCACAACAAATCCTATGAGCATGCCTCCAAACCTATTCAGATGTTGAGGCACCTTCAAGCAGCTATTTCAAGTCTCCCAGTTGAGCTGAAGCCAGTGCATGAGGCGTATTGCTATTTTATCAACATGTGCAGTACTGTACAGAGAGCCGAAATACACAACCTCACAGGACCTTGCCTAGTGATGTGAAGACGAAATCCCGCTGAATACCTCAATGTAGCAACTTAAACCTAGGTATTCAAACTTTTCAATGCACTCATGTGCTTGATCCTGATTCTCCTTGAAAGATGTATCTGTCAATATATTGGTAACCCTGTGCAGAGTTGAGGTTGGCAACACGTTCAACTCGAGACTTTTATATGAAGCTGCCACGAACCAAACTACTTGAATGAATTTCACCTTTCAACAACAACCCTTAGTCATTCTTGGGCGATTCTAAAGCTGCCCTTAAAATCCACCTCGAAGGGCAAGAACCAGATGTAAAACTGACCCTCCTTCAATGTTGTAATCACGGGCAGTCTTGTCATCGTTCATTTGCTTTCCTGCGAAGATAAGCCTAATACACAACAGCACAACATCGAACAATTGTTAGAACTTTCTTCTCCTAACGAAAGACGTACTTAAAGTGCTGCTGGAGAGCACCCCAAGAGCACAAACCCCTGCCAGAGAGTGCTCTAGCAGGTTCTGGACAGAGCAATTTCTAGAGTGTGCTGTCTTTTATCGACACTGGTCCGCACAGGAAAAATCAGAGAAATTTTGACATATAAACGCCCCAAAGTTTCAACCTTTACACCGTTCTTTCAACACAGACTAAGATATTGAATGTACAGTACCAATTCTGGATTTAGACAAGATTCATACTCAATTTATTGTCTCTAACTTATGAAGACCCTTTAATTCACCAGAATTTAAAACTCACCCAAAATAATATGTCCTAGTTTCCATCTACAAGGTCCAACATATAGGTATCATATCGAAAGAAACCGAAGACATAAAGAAGAAATGATAAAAGCAGGAAAGAAGGTGTAAGAGAACAGAGTAAAAGGCAAAAAAAATGAACTATGAAAACGATAAGTTGGGAAAAAAACATGGTTTCATATAGTGAGCACCTGCGGCAAAGATGACTGTGAATGCTTACAGGAAAAACCGTAAAGCAAAAGTACACAGATGTAGTCCAATTAACAGTCACTTACAATAACTTAGACAACCAGCTAAATTTCGCAAATTAAAACCACTTACCCAGAAACATATTAAAGCAATATTGATACATGCCATTCTGCAAAGTTCAGAAACAGACAAAAAAAAGAAACAACACTAACGAATGAAGTCGCACTAGTGGAGCAGGAACCGGATGACATGGATGAGACGTTAAACTAGGACCTGCCTAACGAATATCACGTACCTTTGCTGCACAGGAGGAATTCCTTCTTTCTCCTCCACTCGTTCTTTTATCCTCTCAATCGTATCAGTTGGCTCGATGTCAATTTCGATTTCTTTGCCCGTAAGCGTTTTGACTTTGATCATAGTGCCACCTCTCAGTCGCCAAAGAAGATCGACAGTTGACTCCTCCTGGATATTGTAATCGGATAAAGTTTTGCCATCCTCCAGCTGTTTTCCGCCATAAACTAACCGCTGCTCCAAAGATGATAAACCCTTCTTAGCCTGCCAATTTTCAGCGATCACAAACGAGCCAGACTCACAGGTTAGTGCAGGCCGTTGAAAGATCAAAATTCTACTAGATAGAGGTACATTATACACAGAAATATGCATCCAAGTAATTCCACGAGACTTTTATCTGCACTCCATTCTAGCGACGGTTTAGTACAAATTGCAGCTCCAAGCATTACACATATCCTACCGTGTCAGGCCACACCCTCCGCAAGTAAGAATTTAAAAATAAGGAAAACAAAACCGGAAATGGCTTCCCTCCGGATGGCAACCATGCTCGACGATGTAGCAATTTCAGACTTGCGCAAGGTGATCGGGAACAAGAGGCAAATCCAGGTGGCGAAGATCAAAGACTGGAGAAACAACCGAGAATGAGCACGGCATACCTGAAACTTGGCTTTCGCACGACCAATCGTGTCGCCGCTCTCAACATCTAGGGCAATAGTGCCCGAATGAGTCTTCACAAAAATCTGCATTTTGAAACGCTCCTGTCTCGAAGAATGACAATGGAAGCGACAGCGTCCTTCTCCCCTCTCCGTGCGATGATGACTGAATTTCCTCCCTCAGAAGGGAGCAATCGAGCTTGCTTTAAGAGCCGAAATAAATGCAAAATATCACACACAGACACACTTCCAGCAGCAAGCAGGCAGGCGAACCCAACCAACACTCCCAACAGTCTGCAATAACACCAGGCAGGCTGGCAGGCAGGATGGCAGGCTCAACACTGCTCCGCGACCATAGATAGTTCCAGAAGAAAGGTCTCCTGCCTCCTTCTCCTCCTTCCCCTCTTCTACTGCGCTCAAAAGTTACTCTGGAGAAGACGAACTCATATACGATCTTCTTCTCCGGCGTCTTCTTCTTTGGAGCAGCAGCAGAGGAAGAAGAAGAGCGCAGCAGTGCGCTGCTCCTGTGAATCCGAGCAACGCAGTCAACTGACACCAAGGGCCGACCACAAATTTGGAGAAGGTATGAGATTGGCCGACGAGATGCTATTTCTCTGCTTCGTTTCTCTTTTCTTCTCTTCGTTTGTCTTTCTGTCTCCACTCTCCCCCGTCTTTTTCTCACCCGGGTTACCACGAACCCTAACCAAACTGCGTGGCAACTGCACTCCGGTTAGCCGTACCTGGGGATTTCGCAGTTTCACGCCCCACGACACAGTCTTACGTCAATGTGCCAAACGCGACCCGAGTACCCGACGCCGGTCGAACCGTTGAGCTTCGGGTACATCCAGGGTCCGTCGTCCTCGTGGATGTGTACTGTAGTGAACTCTGTCCCTGTGGGTGATACGGACAAAACCCATTTGTTCTGCTCGCCGGAACTCCTCGGCCTCCATAGGGACAGGCCCCCTTCCGTCACGTCTACGTTCGCCTCTTCAGTATCACAATCAGCATTTACGCAGTGAGCTGGGAACTAACGGGCCCGATTTTGATGGGGAGCTTGCCAACGAGGTCAAGGAAAACGAAGCAGAGCGAAGCAAAGAAGGCATGAAACGGAAGTGAACCCAGTTTCCGTGTCTGGGTGCCCGTAAGGACCCGCAAGGACGAAGCCAATCAGAAGAGCTCACTCGATGCACAGGAATGCGTGTCGAATGACGGAACTGGAAAGCCTAGGGACTGGGGTCGCATGTTGGGATACTCCTGGTCGGTCAGAGAAGTGTGAGCAGAGGACAAGAGTCTGTTTCGACAGTTCTTCTGCGGATGCCGGACCGGTTGCGTCCGAGCCCGAGCCGGTCTCCGCATCGACCCACTGGCTCCGGAGGCTGATCATCCATTGGCCGTATGGTGAGAGTGTTATTTGTGGTGGACCAGGTCAGTGGTCGTGACGTGCTCCAGTCACTCACCGAGTTCGAGCTCTTCCACTCAGTTGTTCCCTGCTTTGTTCCCATCACACAATACAGGAACAGTAAGGATTCTCGGTAGGTTTCCCCCGCAGGCAGGAAGGCAGGATATGTCATGCGCTGATCAGGAAGGAAGTCACCGTACCTACTTCTTCCCCCTCGTCGTGATTTTAGAGTGGAAATCTTAGACTCCAAGAAGCATTCCCGTGGATTTCGACGCAGCAGAGTGTTTCAGCCCTACTCAGATCTGAAAGTAAAGAATAGAATAAATAGCTAGATCTTCCAGAAGTAGGGGTATACCACAATGTCCCAAGTAGGCATGCGTTTAGAAGTTATAGTTTTGATTGGGAATATTTTCCCTCACATGTGAATCATGCACAACACCAACAAAACCCTGTAAACTATGTTTTCTGTACAGCGATACTTTCACCGTGTTATATTACCAATTACTTATTAATACTGTGAGCAGCTTTGATTTAAAAGGAAGAAGAGATTAAATGTTCATTTCGATGTGCGGACAAGATACCTTCTCATTTCACTTGTCGCCTGAAAACTACATTCCCATAGAAATGTTGACTTACTTAACATCTTCAAATTATGCTTTGAAGTGTAAGACATATCAGTGTACTTTATAAATATTGGTTCTGAACATTCATTTTCATTTACTTCAGTCGAAGATAATTGAACTTGATTACAGTTAAAAATAGTTGCGTCATCACTCCGTGAGTGAACTGATGAATGTCATGTCAGTAAATTGTGTGCAACCAGGTTGAGTGTAACTTAAGTATTCCTCCTGCTAATTGAGATTCATTTAGACTTCCTAGCTAGTTCATATGTATCGTCAACAGTCCCTGCACAACTCTAAGCTTTTTTAATACTTTCCTGAAAATATATTCTTTTCTGCACATGGTAAAGTTTAGTGCAAACACGTACATTTTCAATATTGTATCAGGAACTGTCGCAGTCACAACTTGTGATTACAACCTCTATCGTATGTAGTTGAGTGAATGTGTCAATGTGAGAGTGGGATAGTACGAGAATAAACTCCATTGTGACGGATTCACAACGACTATGTAAAAATCAGCAGATTTCAATTTTTTTCACAAGACATACGAAGATTGAATATAACGACATGACAAGGTGTCGCGTTCACGCCCACTAAATTATCGGAAATGGATATTGAAACTAGTATTTTAGATGGAAGATACAAATGATGTTGATTACGTTCATTGAGTTAGTCAAAAAACCACTGCAACTTGTTCAAAATCCTCCACCTAAAATATTAGAAATGTGGAAGTAATTAAATATCAGATCTATTATAATACTGAGGATGTCACATGAATTCTCCCGTTTAAGCAATCTAGGTCAAATTTGGATGTATAATATAACAACTCCAGAACATCGGATTTTCAGTAGGTTAAAATCACTCTTAGAGTGTTAATAGAGTGAAACATCCTAATCTGACTCGGTGCATACAGCTAAATGACTGACTTTATTCATTTAGCTGTATGCATGAAACTTATTAACAAAGCGGTATCAAGTAATAATAGAGTATAAAGTGGAAAGCTTCCATCAAAATTTACATGGATGAAATCATGGAAGCATTTGGTACCAATATTTCACACTGAGAAACATAAAACATTATTAGATATGAATTCATCTACTTCAACTGTCTATTTATCATTTAGCATTCAAGTATCATCAATTGAATTGGTTGTTATCTTATGGATTGTTCAATAAACTGATCTACTTATAAAAATTGATCCATATTGCATAATAACATACACAATATGACAAATGAAAAGAATTAAACACAATGTTGATTATTATGGCAATGTCTTACAAATATGTCAATATAAGGTTCCGCAATCCATATGACTCGGAACAAGAGTAACAAACAACTTTTGTTTTCCTTACTTCAACTTTTGAAAACTTGATTCATAGAACTTTATTGGATTGATAGCTTCATTCAATTTTCTAAGGGTAGGATATACAAACTCACACAAATTGTGTACAACAATTAACTAATTCTTTCAGATTTGAATAAAAAAAATTAATCTTTAAAGTTGATAACAAGCCATATTAATGGACACATCATTGAAAATTTTCACATTTTTATGCAAATATTACAATAGCAATAACATACATCATCATATATAGGTGTTGTTTGTATGATTCATCTAATATTAAGATAAATAATACATTCACATCTGACCTATTAACCATCTTAGATGCTAATGAATATTGATGCATTATAGATAATCAATCAAGTGTAACTTAAAAGCTATTCTATCTAATTTTATTTAATTTATTGGTGTTTCAAATAGATCAATTAAATTCACAACATCAATATATATAAAAAATGAATCCAAATTCAGAAAAATTGATTTTTTCATATTCTTATACAAAAAAATGTAATTGAATTGATATATTTTTCTTGATGAATATCTACTTATCAATTGATTTAACTTTCATAATTATATTAAGTTTCATTAAAAAATCAAATAAATTTATTAATTTAATTAACTTAATTATGAAACAGAATTGAAAAAAATTTCAATTCTGCTTCATAGTATAACACAAATAGTTATATAAATTTTTTAAATTAATTTGGATGAAATGCATTAATATCAAAAATCATCATTTAACATTTCAAATCAAATGTTTCAAGAAAATTGTGTTGAAGATTAGTTTCAAATTAATTACTAATTAGTTTCAAAGTCAAAGCTTTATGACTAAAATAAATTTTTTTTTAAATAAATGATATATGATATTGGATATATTTACAATTTTTTTATTTAAACTCTAAAATAATTGAATATATAAATATATATATATAAGTTTTTCATTTTTTCATCGAAGTGTTTTTTTGAAGAGTTTTTTTCATAAATTTAATTTTTTCAAAACATGAGTCCCAAAAATCATAAAATAATTTGAAATGATCATTAAATTAGTAAGGATATAATAAAATGGAATCAAATCATATCTTAGAATTCATAATAATAAAACTTTATAAAAATCAGAAATTGATTACAAGATTATGAAGAAAAATTTCTAATCAATTTTGATAACTCTCATCTTAATTGCAAGCCTATAATCAACATGAACACATATGCAAGAGACATATAAAGAAAGGTGGATATCTCTTCCTTGAGTTAACTAAGCGGTAAAACAATCTATAATTAATTTATTCAATTCAAATGTGTCACAAAGAGCTTTCACAAACTATTTAACATAGTTTTGGATTCGTAGTAACTAACTATAATCAAATTGACTAATTTTGCAATTCTAATAAATGTTAAATTAGTTTGATTTTCTAAGTTACATTCTAAAATTTCATACATCATTTATGAAAATTGATTTCCATTAGATTCAATATTAGTATGTTCATATGTATAAAACTATTGGCTTGTATTCATATATTTGCATGATAAAATTTTCATATTAGATAAGTGTTCTTTACACTATGTTTTTTTTTTCAGCCATCCAAGAGATGAATTTTGATATTGTAAATTGCAAGTTTATTGGTTTTTAGAAAAAATAAATTGAGTGTGTGCACACAAGACTCATATATTAAAAAATTTATGGGTTCTTAAAAAAGGTTACAATTTGTGCACGAATGTTGTAGTGAAGTTGACAGTGAGAAGTTCACTCCGTTAGTATCAACAATGTTTGGAGAAGAAGGTCTAGAGGTGGAATTCTAATCGTGATTACCATCACTTCTGCTCTCCTTGTACTTTGATAAACGGGAAAATGTTGATGTGTAAGGCAGACGATTCACATCTTTGAATCATAAGTAATCATGTGGATTGATTGAGAGTGTGGAATATTTCATGCGGTACAATGATGTTGGTGTATAAAAGAGTCTGTTGTGACATGAGAATGAAGTAGCAATTGGCGTTAGAGAAAAAGGTCTAGAGATGAAATTCAAATCTTGAGTACCATCACTTCTACTCTACTTGTACTTGGATAAACAAAAAGATGTTGATGTGTAAGGCAAAGAATTCATATCTTTGAATCATAAAATATTTTGCAACATAAGTATCCATGTGAATTGGTTGAGAGCGTAGAATATTTCATGCGGTACCATGATGTTGGTATATAAAAAAGTTTGTTGTGACATGAGAATGAAGTATTGTCATATACGATTGCATATGGCAAGACAAAGCTGACATCAATTCTTGTACTCAAGAGCAGAATGTTAGAATAAGTTAGATGCTGAAGATATTCTTAGAGTGCTTATATTACAAAAGACTTGTAAACTATGTCAATGTACAAAAAAGTGGACTCAACTTATCATTTATCCATTAGACTATCGTTATAGATGACCATTGTAGACCACACTACACTATATGTACAAGCATTTGTACTTTAAACAACAATATGACTGATCACAACTTCAACATGATATTAGAGAGTAAATTATTTCTTTGATCCTCCATTTAAGATTGCGAATGCTTTTATTTGATGATTTCAATATTTGAATTCTTCCTCTCTATCATTCGGAACCATGAAGTTGTCAAGGGAAGCAAAGGACATTGACCCAACATAGAAGCTAAACGACATCGACAACTAGACCGCTTGGGCTACGTGAATGCGAGTCATTATACGCAAGAAGAAATGTTATGCGGCAGTCAAATGAAACATTGCTTTACCAAAGTTATTCTCTGCACTTAAAGTTCTCAAAGGATTGACTAATCACGCACGACACATTTCTTTACCAAAGTTACTTTCTGCTCTTGAAGTTCTCAAAGGATTGATTGATCACGCACATAAAGATGCAATTACGACCAAGCAAGAACAAGAGACTGTTAATGAAGAAGTTTAGGAGAAAATTGATATCACTCTCAAACAACGTGATGACGTCGTTTACTACATTATGATCAACGTGTGTGAACACATTGTTCATCATATCTCTGTCATCTCTTACCCTCACCTAATGTGAAAAGAGCTACAAACACTATTTGCGTCAATGCCAGTTCTTGCGTTGTTAACTTTCAATGAGAGAGGTTCAGTCTATCAAAACTCACATGAGTGCCGTGAAAAACCTCACTAATCAACTATCAAACTGCAATGATACAGTCAAAGACTCAGAACATATACCTTTTATTATGATGAGTTTGTCCACAAGTTGGTTAGGATTTGATTCTTCCATTAAAGCTAGTATTATTCATAAACCTTATACACTTTTGCAGTTTTTTAATCTTCTCATTGATTATTATGAAATGACTCCTTAGATCAAATCTAACCAAATCAACGTATTAGCCAAGTATTTTATTGCCACCATCTAGCGTGGATCTTACCCAAAGTATCATCGAAATGACTGTCATTGCAACTGCAATTATAAAGATCAAAACAAGGAGTTGTGTTGTACAGATAAGAGGAAATCTGTTTCATTCCAACAATCCAACAATGATAGTGACTACCACG